TAACTACGGCACCCGTGTTGTCGCCGCTGATGGATGTATTGCTGCCAGGTGATGGAGGTGGGTTTTCTTCAAGTGCCCAATCTTCTGGTGGAAAGACGTGTTCTTGGGTGGCTCGTACCCGAATGGCGTTGGGCCCCCATGGCTCAATTCGAAGCGTCGCATTTTCGTAACGATACGTGAGAATGGAGCCTTGAATAGAGAAGGCCATGTTGTGCGAACTTGCGATGATGTTTCAATTGCAATCTAATTCATGGTCCTACTATCTTGTTCATTAGATATTGGAAAGAAAAGGCGTTCAATATAAAATTAGCCCAGATATATTTAGGTGCTAGTAGTAATGCCCAACGAGTGCTTCAGCCTAAACTCACTGCCGATCAAGCTCGATTCCGGCTCAAATGAACATTTAATGCATGTTGCATAGCTTGCTTGCCGGAATCGGCGGACAGCATATAGCTTCCCCTCAAGTTTCTACATCTATATTGGCTGGCTTGTGGGTTCTACGAAATCTGCCACCGGCGATTGGGTATTGGCGTTGCCAAGGCTGCAGCTGTATTGATTGGTGGACTTAGAGGATCGAAAGGGGATATTACAGTCCGAGTGTAGTTAAGAAAAGGTTAATAGAACTGAATAAGGTGGATGATATTGAAGTCTAGCTATTTTTCCGCTGCCTGGCCTGGCTTAATCATCGAGATCCAATAAGCTGGCGAAGCATAAGGACTCAATATGAAATCTTTAATATCGCTTGATAGTATTTCCTATCAAGGTTTCATAAGTCGCTAAGACTTGTCATTAGCATGATGAAGGGAAAAAAACCATTAAAAGTTTACATCGTTATACGGACCTTAGATCATATTAAGATATAGCTCTGTGGTGTTCACAATCAAAAGTTTTTGCTATGGTTGGTTGGCGGGTTCTTCTTGAGCTTATTGGGAACCCTTGGAGGCGCCCTTTCCGGTTTCGGGGCAGGGGGATCCTTATGGAGCTTGTTGCGAACTCTTGGAGGCGGAGGGTTATACTGTGTCAGTGGCTGAGCGCCATCACCAGTGACTTTGTGCCAGACGTCGCGAAAACCCATGATCGATGTGTGCAATGTGTATTGTCTTTCGCTGGGGTATTTGTAATTCGCTTCTTCGTGAAGTGGTCTTGATGAATGAAGAAATAAGATGGGGGAAAATATGGCCATCTTATAGGAAATATACAAGAAGTGTAGAGAGTCACGCAATTGTGATATCGATTCACAGTGCATGCATACTTTGCAGAATTGGCAGTGATCGGCCTCCAGGCAGAAGTAAGGACAACTGCACAGTTGTGTTGATGCACGATACTTTACATGTGAGGGTGACGTGGTGTAGCGACCGGGGTGCCTGATGCAACAAGATGATGCTGCTTACGATGATTATTGCCGTCATTAGTTGAAGGCCATCTCTCAAAGAAGTAACTGGGGTCAGATAGCTCAGTCAGGTATATAGTGATTGCACCTGTCAAATCATTGATAAATCGAGTAGATCAGACGCATAATAAGGGCTATGCAACAGCAAAATAGTACCTTAGGTTGGGCTAGCCTGCTAACACATATCATGTACCTTTTCATACAATGATTTTGTCGCAAGAATAATTGAGGTGTAGCCGATTACATCCTGAGATTCATATCTCTGGTTTCGTTCAGTAGACGTGATCTATCTCTTCATGTTATACTGCTTTATCTCGAACAACTTGTAATCTCAGCGGTCCAGTTCTATTGCTTGCTCAGCGGACTACGTATGTAATCAGCAATAGAGCTCGAGTTTCACTCAACTGCCGGGGTGTTCAGATAGAATTACAACTCCTGTCGGGAAACTGGCCGTTAATACTGCAGTTATCTTAAATCCGGTATATATATCTGGGAATGTTAATCGTCGTTCACTAGTTGACCAGGTACTCCACAGCTCCATGACCTTTCCCGTCTGCTTCCCTAGCCGGTAGATAAACTATAATGCCTCTCCTGAATCATTGCTCTAGATTTGCCCACTATTCTTAGTAGAAAATATCCTGATCTAGAGCTTTATTTGATTGATCCCATTAGAAGTCCCTTTAGAATAATAATAAATGGCATTAATATAGTCGGATGAGTATCAGGGCATAAAAGCATCCTTGGAAGCTTTCCTGTTTAACTTAGGCAGGTTAAACAGTCGATAACGTGATCGAACTTCACGAATCTATAGAAGAGCACTCTATGTACGGTTAGTTAGAGGACCTAAATTCTAAGACAGACGAAGCCAGCATAATGTATACAAAAGAGGACATACTCTTAATGCGTCACCCCACGCGCTCAAGCACTTGTCATCCACGGACATTGTCCAGTTCCACCGATCTGCTGAGATATTTGTCGGAAGCAGGCGTTTTCCCAGCCCGACTATGAATGAGATCAAGACAACTTGAAGACAGAGATCATCAAGCCTGAACATCCATATTGCCTCTCATACAACTGCAGGTATAAAACAAGGAATCGAGTGGCAAAGATATCGGTATTCGTCCCATTTTTGCTTGATTTATTCTTCAATATAAACCATTGATTTATTGGTTACCTTGCTCAGACATTATTCTACGCATTATTTTTAGAAACCCTGGCTTTCATTGCAGCCTAAAGCTTCATCAAATTGAATGTATCGTGGTAGTGGAGCAACGGCCAGGCTCCAACAATTAGGTCATCAAATCATGTTTAAATAAGTCTGTGGACATCGATCGTCCTTCCTCCATCATTCTCAACTCTTATTCAACACAGCTGTACCCACCATGGCCGATTCCAAGACTAAGCCACCAATCATCTGCGTCTTGTATGTTTCCAGACACAACTAAATACTTGAAGAGTATGTGAGAATAAAACCACTGAGCGCTGACATTTGATGGATAGCTGCGGATCTTCGTCGGGCACTAACCCCGTTCACCTACAAGCAGCAAGAGACTTAGCTGCCGAACTTCACAAAAATAATGCCCAGCTTGTCTATGGAGGCGGCACTTTTGGGCTGATGGGCGAACTTGCTAAGACACTCGTCTCGCTCTCGGGGCCAGACGCAGTTTATGGCTATGTTCCCCAAGGAATGGTCCAGCTGGATAAAGATCGCCAAGGGAGCAAAGTCATAACGTCAAGTGTGACTGGCAAAATCGAACGCGTCATAGTGGATGAGCAGACTATGGATCCGGAGTTTGGTCGAGTCCTGCTCGTCCCGGACCTTCATACTCGCAAGAAAGCAATGGCGCAGAAAGTCCTTGAAGGCGGCCCAGGCTCGGGTTTCATTGCCTTGGCTGGCGGGTTCGGTACTCTCGAGGAGGTGCTGGAAATTGCCACATGGTATCAAATGAAGATACATCGTCAAGGGGTTGTGTTGTTGAACATTAACAACTACTGGGACCATGTGGTCGCGTGGGTGAAGAATACCACCGAAGAAGGTTTTCTATCTCGTGCGAGTGCTGGGATTATTATGAACACCGCCGAGGTTCGATCAGCCTTGGAACTTTTAAGAGACTTTGAAAAGAACCCGCCTGCTTTTTAGTTGGCATGGAGTCACTGGGAGCGTATCTTATCTTGAATAAAAACCAAGTTCCCAAGATCTCGACATTTTTAAGGACTTCTATTTCTTGACTAGTGTTGTGATTTAATCTTATAGTAAGAACTGTTTCGTTTAGTTAAGATTCACCTCGTTCTTTCATAAGGTGTATCCAAGTGCTGGTTTCTATGGGATAGAACAAGCGATGTCACTTTTGTTGGACATCTGATTGTAACTTCAACCTTAAGTGAGATTCATCTTATTTCAGGTACGCCTTTATGAATCACTACATTTTGAACGGGTAATAATTGGGTTCTTCGTTTTATCCCCCTTTTAGGCGCATTCTTCATCCTCTCTACGTCGTTGCGACTGAGGGTAGCATACCTCCAACACCAACGATGCGCCGGTGATAAATGGGATAAATGGATTGCTTTGAGCTAATTTAACCACATTATTATTATCAAACGACTGGTACCGAACTTGAACCATCGAATACCAAATTATCCATGGTCCGGCCTGGTTAGTCGATCAGCGCGGGCTGCTGTTGCGGACGGTTGGATTGGTTTCTACCAACCTACCTATACCTTACTTCAAGGTGCTTCAAGGTGTTGGAGCCAACAACGCCGTTGCGGCGCAGGCTGCGGAACATTTTCCAAACGCGAGATTGCAGGCGATAATTGCTGGCGGCGATGCAGCTCCTGCGGTGGCACCCCAGATGAATCCGGCTGCGCCGTAGCAAGCCATGGCGACACCAGCACAACCGCCTTGACAGACACCGTATGCGATAGGCCCTGCCGAGACTGATATTGGGAGCGTGGCAAGCGTAGTCACGAGGTACAAAAGTTTCATCTTCGAGGTAATTATCTTGAATATGTTTTTGGAATGGCGATTTGGCTTTTGCGAGCTTTTAAAGAATAAATCATCAACTTCTGAAACTCGGAAATCGAACCGAGATAGCAACCTTGTTCATATAGGGGAGCTCAAAGGTTATGAGCTACTGTAGATAAATCACCTCATCTATGATGTCACAACTGTTTAAGACTGACGCAAATCAATCTTTTTTTTTTTTTTTTTTAATTTGCCAGATCATTGACGGCATGTCTTCGAAGATATGATTTTGGCTGGTGATAGCTACAAACATTTAGCATCGCTTGCCCGTACAAAGCCGAGAACCATAGGGACGCTATTCAATCTTCATACGGAAGAGGCATGTGAAAGTTACATACCCAGGCCGAGCCAAAGACTGTTATATCTTATACATTCCCTACGCCGCAATCTCACCCTTACTTATTAAAGTTTGAGAAATTGCGTTTACACATCACGATGGCGAAGATACGTCATGCCGAGTTCGATAACGAAGGCGGATTGTCTTACTAGAGTAAATCAATGAGAGAAGTTGGGGAAATTCGTTGACAAATGGTCGCACCACTCGGATTGTTGTCATATCCATCTGTGACACCTGAAGAGGCCTCGGTCATGTTTAAATGGCTAGTGCGTGAATCACTTGGGTAGGTTGCTTACCCAGATGGATGCCAGCGACCAACAAACACAGTGTTGGTTCCATTTCAATTCATTTACATCACCTGCTTCTAAGCCACAATTTTCTATATCAAAAGGCAAATTTGACATAACCAACAGCCAAAAATCCAGTCCATGATGAAGTGGCCTTGCGCAGCTCAGGCATGTCGCCGTCCCGCTTTGTGGACTTTTCTTGGGCAATGTGAACAATGCCACCGACATTTTTGCGGAGAGCATGCCGTTTCAACTTCACACACGTGTCTGACAACAGAGGTTTGTGCAGAGACCATGAATGATTGAGCAAGCCGAGATAAAGCTGACACAGTTTCCACGTAATAGGATATCCACACAATCTACGTGTCTGGTGACGAGTCTAGGCTCCGAAAGCTCAACGCATCCCGACGAACGGCAGGCGAGAAGATCAGTTCTGCCCTGATTGACAGTATCGACAGCGATGCCCTCCGCGAGCGTGCCGAGACTCTACGCCACGGAATGAAATGTACCGTCACTCTTCCAGCAGCCAACCAGGCATACTTGAACATGGACGTCGTGGGGGGACGCAACTACCATAGGTCAATCGTGTTTGAAGATGGAAAAGCCTGGCTGGCACGATTCCGGCTGCCGAACCACAACGCACCACCGGTGGAAGAGAGAAACTTTGACCGTCGCAGCGAATTCGCCACATATCGCCATCTGGCCGAAGCTGCCATCCCAGTTCCACGCGTCTACGATTATGCCGATGACGAGGATCCATCCAACGCTGTTGGCGCTGGGTACATTCTGATCGAAAAGCTTGCGGGGAAGCCGTTGGCTTGGCACGAAGCGGATCAAGCACAGAGGGAAAAGTTCATGCGTCAACTAGCCGACATTTATACCCAGCTGGAGAAGTGTCCTCTTGCAGCAATTGGGCGCCTGAAACCATCATCGTCGTCGGCAGGCCAGCCAGAAGTCGGTCCGGCATTTTTCGATTACGATCCGAGTGGGCTTGCAGTGCCGCTTGGTCCATTCGATAATACGGACGACTACTATAAGGCCTTGATCGAGCATAGAATTGGTCTCATCAAGACGGGGGAGATTGCAACATCTGCACCTCTCGATCAATACCTTGTCTACAGGAGTCTCCTTGACCGCCTTCCCCAAAACGAGGAGGGTCCTTTCTTCTTGCGCCATGTCGACTCTAGAGATGAAAATTTCCTAGTTGATCCTGAATACAACATCACAGGCATTATAGACTGGGAGCTGGCCATTGTCACGGCCAAAGGCGCGGCTTTCCAGTCGCCTCTATTGCTGTACAACTTGGGAGAGCTATACCATCAAGGCCTCTCCACACCAAGCGAGGATGAAAAACGCCTTGCTGAGATCCTTCAGAAAGAGAACAAGTCGGACGAGCTCTTTGCGTTGGCTGCGCAGAAGCTACACTTTAGAGTCGACCAAGTGATAGAGACGAACCCAGAGAATGGGAACAACTTTACCAGAGTTTTCAGCGGATGGTGGAAGGCTGCTACGGGGGAACAAGAATTCGATTGGGACACGTGGTATAAGAATGCACTGGAGAAGTATGGCGATGGAGGTTTTTTGCCTTCAACTGTCAGGTAATAGTCGCATAATCAATTCACTATTTCCTATATCTATCTTTCTCTGGGTATAAAATAAGTGAAAGCTCCAGGCAAGCGAAAGCTGTATAAACTTTGACTCCTTAAACGATACTGTAGTGCTCATTTGAGACCACCAAGCGACTGACATAATAAAACATGGCGTACTAAAGCTCTTTTCACTCAATTCAGGGACCTATTCTCTGATTGATTATACTATACATAATAAAAAGTAAATGATGAGTTATTCTACAATACTGTGCTCGATAATGATCATTGCTGGGTTGACTGTTTGATATTGTGTTCAAGTTTGTCGCTGATGCCATGTTTTATGACAGTCGCCTGACCATCTTTGAAAGAAAGAACCCGGCCAATCCAGATGATAAGAAGCAAGCTCTTCATATCATACAATATGCCTCATAAGTGGAGGTTCCGTGATAAGCACGTTCAGCCCATACGACCGTAGAATATGGTCATCAATCGGGAGAACGCCTCCATCGTCACTATGACCCTTACCTAGTTGAGGCTAGATAAGGCGAAACTAGCTTATAAAAGCTCTAACTTATAGCAATTAAAACGCTAAGTTGTAGTATTCCCTTCCACGAAGTTCGAGCTGCTGTAAAGCCCCTGTATTTTACTTCATTCTTAACATAACAATCCTCTACGGAATATACCTAAATTTCTTAGTATAGGGATTCCAACCGATAGTAGGCTGTAAAACAAAACTTATATTGCTAAAACTCCAGTTGGACATATAAAATTCAATGTCGGATTCTAGGAAATTTTCAGAGCTTGTTCTTATGGAACTGATATAAAACAGTACTGGTAATAAGACACTGGTTAGTTAACGGAAGGGAGAATCTAGAAACGTAACAAGTTTACCAAATTGGTGATAGGATACTTGATCATGCGCAAGAGAAGCCTAAATCTTGCTTAGTAGATAGCTACTTTCCTTTGTAAACAGACTTTCAAGACCGCTAAATAGCAGCGAGCTTCCTGAAACTTAGAAGTAAACTGACTTTGCCTTTGCCTTTAGTGGTAAGGATGCACAAGGTGGTTCCCAGTATATAAATACTCCATCGAGTCTGAACGGAACTCAGTTAATGCGAGCATTGGCCAAGGATGATTCCACTTCGAGCCATCTATCATGGCGCAAATATATCTTATAATCCCGACAATTTGGCAGTCAGACAGCTCATTGGCGGTTTGCCCACTTGGCATGGTACGCCCAACTATCTCCGAAATATCCGGTCTATGTCATTTTCCTTTTTTGGATTAAGGCCATGAGTACAGGGGTACTCGGAATGGATTTCGCAAGAGAAACCATAGCACGAATTCTGTTTGTGTAGACGCTGTGCGGATGGTGACTACTTTCTTGCTGCACAGGATATCGTGCTTAGCGGAGATAGGAGTTAAGGGAATTGAGACAGTTAGATGGTGAATTTACGTATATGGTTATTATATTGCTTCCCATGAACGACAGTGAATATAAATATTCATAGAGAAGCAGAAACTATGAAATCTAGGTCCTTTACTTCAATTTGTCAAAATCAATAGCTTCCGCAAGCTTTCAGACGAAACAACAAAAAATGGCTGCCGTATCCTACGTCCTTCCTGCTAAGCTCTCCGGGGCTCTCAGCGACCGTGAGCAGATCGCTGACACGATATATCGTCTTGTTGCCGCCTTCGACCACGCCGACGAGGACCTTCTCCGGTCCTCCTTGACCGACGACGTTGCAGTCGAGATAGTTGGATTCCCTAGCTGCAAGGGAATTTCGGAGCTCAAAGAATCCAGCTTCAGCCGAGTTTCCAAACTCGTGACGACTCACAGCATTTCCAACATTCGTGTGAGCCTTGAGAGCGCCACTACTGCTCGAGCTTCGTGCACTTCGGTAGCCCAGCACGCCCGACCTGGAAAAGGCTTCGAACAAGGGCCACATCGGCTTCTTGGCGGAGGGTTTTATATCTGTGATCTGATTAAGGAAGGTGATCTTTGGAAGATCAAACAGTGGTTTGCAAAGCCTATCTGGTACGAGGGCGACCCAGCCATCGCGTATGAGGCATAAGAGATAGAACCGAACGCAAGTTCAGGCTAGCTAGTGGGTGCCAATGACAGTTAGCCGAGCTGAATCATGTAAATGCTTCCAAATTCATATTATCAGCGGAAATCGGTGTTGTGATTAACGCTTGAGAGCATATTCATTCAACATAGAGTTTGCACATATTAAGATCCTCCCGAGTACCTAAGTGATCATCAATGACAAACCAAGATTTATATCCCTTTCATGTCGCGATTTTCATTATACGATCTAAAGTGATAGTTGGAACGTCATCGCCGCACTTTTCTCTAATATCTCTGAGGAGGATGTATATTATCAATAGAATCCCGGGCCGAAAAAGGTTCCACCGGACATAGAAGTCTGAAGTAACCCCGGACTAGACATATCAAAGGTTCATCTTCTATGTGAGTTCCTTCAGTCGCCGCCGTGGAGTCAGCCCCCTCCCTCCCATCAAGCAACGCCAGGAAATTAATAGCATCATTAGGAAATAAACTTAGGCTGGTGAGCGAATCTGGGATATACTACATAGATATGCATTCCAGGGTGAAATTGTCTCTAATAATCAGAACTACCGATTAGGCTATCCCAGATACTAATTATAGCTCTTCAATACGAAGGGACTCCTTGTTATTAATACCAAACAGATTCGTTTGCGGAGTTACCCTGGCCAAAACTATAACTTATTTTATCGAACATATTCTGATACTCTAGATATAATAGATTGGTATAAGGCTCTTTATATTAAGAGCGTGTGGAGTTTCCTAGTCAGTAGGGACTTGCAGGGAAAAGGGTTCAAGTGGGGAATTACTGCTCGTTATTTTCGAAATCGAATAATTCTTATCTTTTATATTTACTTACTTTGCGAAGTCGTGATCTTCGACTTAAGTTGTTATTCAACGGCCAATTTGGCTTGAACGAAGACCAGTATAACCCTCTTCGATTGATCAAATGCGGGAGGTCCCAACCAAACACCAAACATACGGTATTCGATGGTGGCTATTAGTTTGACTATGCAGCTTAGTTGCAGTTCCTCTTGTTGACTAGCGCTGATATTGCGAATACTGACCTCTCGTAGGCACGGGTTATGGTGTTGTTAGTTGGAGAACCCCATCGGCACTCGATATTCAGCTTAGTGCCATATTCATGGACCTGCATGATCGCACGTATAAGAACGAGGAGTAGCGATTAGGTAACAGAGAGCTATCGAGAGCAGGCAATCAACCCTTGAATATAATACTTCGCAATACTTCCTTTCGTCTTAGAAGGGCTTTTCCTTTAAGCCGTGATGGAGTGAGTCTTGCATTAAAAAAAGAGTAGCTAGAACAACCGGCCGTTAACGCATACTTAGCTTAGATGTTATCAATTTGAAACAATTGACATAGAAAAATGGTCCTCGCGCGTGCATCGAGCAGATATTTTAAGAGCACATTCAACAACAATGAAGCTGCCAGGGCCCGGACAACTCAATGCAGTGTTCTAACACAGTGCAAAAATGGAGTCAGGAGGACATGAGTACGGATCGTAAGACGGATACGTAATGCCAGAGCACTGCCCTGTAGATCTTGTCTGATTACAGAAGGCAGCATAGGTCTCCTCTTCTTGCTTATACGCATCATGCATATATATTGAGGCGTAAGGGAACTTTCTAGGACCTTTTGCTCTTCCGTTTCGGGCTGTTTATGCCAAGGGCGACTTCGGGGCGTACCCAAAACGTCAAGTGTACACAAGTGGTAATTACAAACTGAACTCCTCGCAAGCCGCGATCGAGGTCTTGATAAAAAAAAACAATGAAGTTTTCATTTTAACTTATGGCACTTAATTTATCATATGATACGTTCTCAGTATGAATTCGAACCGACGTATATATTTCAGGCAAAGAACATGACTCTACCGTAGAGACGGAGGAGGAGTTCGGGGTAGCGTTGCATCGACACTACGGATATTGGACAGGGGTCGCGGCTCTTTGCTCTTTGAAAACCCGCTATCATGACGCATGAATGGTTCCAGGCGGCTCTATCCTACGCAGGTGGGGATCGGCGAAATCGCAGAGATCCGTAAGTTCCGAGCGCAGGAAGACAGAAGGCGCAGCAGGTTGAGCCGAGAAAATGATCTTCAACCGCTAGGTTATACGCATACGACATGTGTACATACGCAACGAGAAAACCGTTCGAGCGACCAACCAGACCCGAGGTTTCCGCAGTGGTAATAAGCCAAATTGGGCCGCTCAAACTCAAACCAGACAAATGAAAGCTCACCGTCTCCAAATGACTTCGACAACATAGAGAAAATTTCGTGGCAGCAGAAGCTAATTAGGAAAGAATGCATGAAGAGCTATTCCGATGTCACCGGATTGAAACAATGGATGGCCAAGCTTGGGCCGGTCACTGGCTGTGCGGACAGTTACGCGGAAAGCCAAGCTTGATCTCTTGCTGAGCTGTCAGTCCCCGCTCCAACACAATCAGCTTACTCCCATATCCATTATTTGCTAAGATCTTTACTTCATTGGACTAAAACCGAGAATACCGATATAGAGTCGTGGAACGTGTGGATAGCCCGAAGAACTTGTGTGTCGATCTTTCAGGATCCTGGTCTTGTAACCTCCGTAGCAATGCAACATGAGTCAGATGAGAACGCAGGAGAGTAGCAGTGAAATCATAAGCTCGAAAGACCGTAGATGGAAATAACTATATAAACTCGACGTATAGCCGCCAAAACTGGTCCTTCTCCCATCCCATCACTCTCAATCAATTACTCGGTACATTCTTTCGAACAAGACTATCTACTCAGCCAATATGCAGTTCTTCAACATCATCGTCGTTGCCCTGGCTAGCTTTGCTGCCGCAGCTCCCAACCCAGCTACCCCCGAGGCTGAGGAGGTCAACATTGAGAAGCGCGTGAGTCTTTAGTCCTAGGGTTCTGTCTACGTTGTGGATGGATGTTCCATGATCAAAATATAGTTCACTGACTTCATCAAAGTGCTCTGGCAACTATGGACCTTGCGCTTCTCAGGCCGACTGCTGCTCCGGTTACCAGTGCTTCACAAAGGGTGGATACTGCGTCTAAAGTTAGAGGGAATAAGAACACCTGTTGTAGCTATTGAACATAGTTTTAAGGCATATAACTAAGTACTTTTACATTTTGTCCTCGCTGAGGCCGTGAGGCCCAAAAATAGGGAACCCAGTCTTTGGGGACATGCTCTATGTGAGGAATATACCTCCTCACATGGTGCCTAAGTGCGTAAGCGTGCGTAGTCCTATGATCTTCCCAGGGATCCTGTACGGCGACTGGTCCCAAGGCTGGATCGCAACAAACCTAATGTTGTGTTTGATGCTGGGGCATGGGTATTCTGTGCTTGCCTTTAACCTCTGTGACTGTTAGAGATACCTTTCAACATTAAACCTTGATGCGTGCATTTATATCGGCCCCTGTATCATCCAAAAAGCATGCCCATGTTGCCCCCTTTCGTATGCATGTGTAACACAGCTCAGAAGGCGATGACGGAAGCATTCCCTTTAGCTGCTGTGAAGGGGGTGCCTGCACGTGCTCGCCATCCACTGACATTGACTTCAGCCCCTTGCAGAAGTAGCTTGCAGCCCGTTTCCGTATGCACTTTAAGAATTCATACCTACACCTTGATCAATCAGATTTTAAGCAATCTTCTCCCGTCCACCGCTTATTGCAGGCTGTGGGTTATTTTCAAACCGTCCATTTGGGGTGTTGATGTCAATATCGTCACTGAGCAGCTCTTGCAGCATATCCTGAAACGTCTGGGGCCCTCTTCAATGAGCATCTTGGCTACGTCTTGGAACTCCATCTTAGAAGCGACTAATAGTGCGGTGAAGTGTGTGGCTTGCCCTTCGAGATTCTTGTTTTCTATAAATCGCCGTAGCTGTGGGGAGGCGTAGCAGCCGCAATGATTAGTGCTGCCGTCTATCAGTCCGAGAATCAACTTAGGCCCCGGCATCGAATGATTTTAATCTAATACAGCTATATATCTTCTTAAGTCTTAAACCTTCACATTCGCCTTGCCTGATTCTATACGCATCATAACAATGCTTGCTATACCAGATAGTGTCGCGGTTTTGCTTAAAAGCTCCTGGAAAGGGATATCAACCTTGAAGACCTGGAACAGCCAAGTCCTTAGTTCTGCTGCGATCATGCTGTCCATGCCAAATTTCGCCAAGGGAGTATCGGGAGATATTCTACTCGCCTGGCTCAGGATCAAACTAGCAAAGTGGGATTTGATATGCTGAAGAACAGCCTCCCTCAGTGTCAGGGTATTTTGGGCCATCGCCTTTGAAATTCCGATGGGTAGGCTACCCTCCTCAGATCTTTCTGGTACGTCCGCATTGGAACCCAGAGCGTTACTGAGGACAAGAGCCCGAGGGTCGTTGAATACCAGATTGGTCACGTTGAAACCCTCTTCCCTCAATTTGATGAAACCGGCCGGCTCTAACCCAGTAAGCACATGAGCCCCGGCTGCAGTGTCGTAGACATGCGGTATTTCCATTGACCCTGAAAGGGCTAGATCGGTGATCTGAAGAAACTCGTCTTCGTTAATAGTTTGAATGCCTCTTCGTAAAAGTAAAGCCTCAATATCCGGATTTTCGTGTAGATAGCCAATTTCGGAAATCATTCCGAAACCGATGGCTAATGCAGGACGCCCCTGAGCCCGACGATAACGGGCGAACATATCAAGAAAGTGATTGCCAGCACAGTAGTTACCCTCTGTAGCTGTCCCAACGCTGCCCGAAACAGAGCTCAGCATCAGAAAGAACTGCAACTCAGAGTCCTTCCCATTGTGCTGTATGCAATTATGCAGATTCCACGTACCAGACACTTTGGGATCAATGCCTGTATGCCAGGACTTGTTTGACATGGTACTGAATAGGGACTCATCCAAACCCATAGCGGCCTGGACGACACCACCTATTTTGCCATCAACGGCGTCGACAACTTGCCGAACACTGTTGGGATTGGTAACGTCGCCCTTCATAACCTGACAGTCTACCCCGGAGCCTGCAAGATATTGGACAAAGCGCCGCGCTGTAGGCTTGTCCATTCCTGACCTAGAAAGAAAGATGAGCTTTCGGGCTCCTCGTTCCACCATCCAGCGAGATAGACTTCGACCTAGGCCCCCGAGGCAACCGATCATGATATAGGACTTGTTCGAGTCTAACCTCGTCCTGTAAGTAAAATGTTGGACTCGAATGCTTGACAAGGGATTCTCCAGGCTTATGGCTAGCTTGCCAAGTCGGCTGCGGGATGAGAAGAATCGGAGGGCGCTAGGAAGCTTAGATATATCAAAAACCCGATTAGCCCTCAACGCAGCGAAGTGTTTGAGGGAACCAATGCGTAGTAGGCTCATGGAATCACTGAGAAGCTGGCTCCAAAGGTTTTGGAATCTTGTGCTTTTCTTTGCTTCCAGGTAGATCTCTGATAGGTCAAATGCCGAAAATGTCACGTTGCGCGAGAACTGGTCCATTTCGAGACGACCGCTGCCAGTGATGTCAAGTTTCCCAATCTCAATGAAGCGACCAAAGGGCCCTATACATCTCCAGCTTTCTCTAAGAAAGTCACCCGTCAAGGAGTTGAGCACAACGTCTACACCACGGCCCTGGGTGGCATTGAGAACATCATTGGCGAAGCCCGCGTCGCGTGAATCAAAGATTCTTTCGGGCTTCACGCCTAGTGTGGAGACGAGAAACTCTCTCTTTTCCTTCGTTGAAACCGTCGTGTAGACTTCGGCTCCCAAATGCAAAGCTAACTGAATTGCAGCGATACCGACACCCCCAGCTCCGCTATGAATCAACACAGATTCACCTTTTTGAATGGCAGCTCTTTGCCGAAGAGCGTACAGGGCTGTGGCGGTGACGAGAGGATATGTAACCACGGAAGTAAAGTCTTCACTGTCAAGAAGCTTCTTGACTGCCCACTGTGGTACAACCTCACGAGAACGAAAATGATTAGGGGCCATCGCAACGACTCGATCTCCCTTCTGTAAACCAGTGACTCCGGCCCCAGTCTCCTCCACGATTCCGGAAAACTCAAGAGCGCATGTGGCTCCAGGAGTGTCGACTCGTCCGGTGAGAACGTAAACATCCTTCGCATTGACCCCGACCGCTTTCACAGATACGGCCACTTCATCCTCTTTCAACTGAGTAACTGTCTCAACTTCCCGGAAGTAGAGGCTGTCGAATTGACCTGGATGCGATATAGCGAGCTCCAAGGTCCCATTAGTATCGCCGAGCGTAGTTTCAACAGTTTTAGCACCTACACCTCGTTTGAAATGATGATTGAGATTCGTATCTGGCACGAAACGAGCAATATGTATGAGCCCGCGTTTTTCGGCGAATTCCGAGTCTGACTGCGCGGATTGGGAGCAACTAAGAACTTGAAGTAGATTCTTCGCCGTGCGATCCGGACACATTGACGGAACATCCACATCATATGTGAGCATTCTCAAGGAAGGTTGTTCGAGTATCAAAGCCCGCGACAGGCCAGCAGCCAAGCCCATATCAGGAAGCTTGCCATCGATGAGGCCACCGCCCGTTACCCACAAGAGCGTCGCAGCGTTGTCGGTCAGCAGTTTTAAGCAGTGCATTTCATCTTTTGTCAGGCTTGCAAGCAGTGGCACTTCGACTTCTAGCAGCGAAATAATCGTCGATTTCTCAAGGAGCTTATTGTCATTGATGTTTGAAAACAGCAATCGTTGAACAGGAATACCACTGTCCTGAATGAGTTTCGACAATGCGGACCCTAGAACTGTTTCTTCCCGCTCAATCAAGATTATAGGCTCTTCTCTCTTGACGCCATTGCTAAGATTTGGCTTTAAATGCTTCTCAGAGAGAATAAAAAGAGACTTTGATGCGTCCTGAAGTGCTGGAGCTCGAATATCCCAAGCATTACTTAGACTGGCGATATCCAAGGTGCTGTGCCCAAGAGCAAGAAGAACGCCACCGCTGGCTAAAAGAGCACGGTCATGATCGAACTGCGTGCTTTCGAACAATTGACTCGTGGTATCAGGGTTTAATATAACAATAAGATCAAAACTCGTATCGCCTGATAACTTCTGAATAGCGCCTGGCTGGGAAGATGCCAAATCCCATTGCCTTAGAGAAATGCCCGCATCGTTACATGAAGCTGACGAATAGCTTCGCAATCTCTTGTACTCATGTGACGAATGCAACATTTCGAGAATAGCTTTTCCAACATCGTGGGAATCGTGGGAATCCGTACCCAGCTCTAGAATCGACATACATGGGTCTCGGTGTGTCAGGAAACTGATAATGGCGCCAAGCTTCAGCAAGCCTTCGTCTTTTACAGGCGAACGAGCTTCATGGTAAAAGTCCTCCAGAAGCGGGCTAAGATATTGCTCTTCTAGTAGTTTGGGACCTTTGATATCTGGTTTCCAAACAACTCGTAGCATTGGTTGCCGTGTCAGTTCATCAGCAACGTTTGAGGTCAACGTCGGATAGGTTTGGAGCCGGGACTGTTCCATGAGGGCCAAAGATCTTTGAGCCGAGTCGAACAATTCCGCATCAAACGTGGAGGAACTAATCCCAGAAGTACATGAGGTCGCCCTGATCTGCCAGGTACAGGCTTGCTCCTTATCATGATTTTCGGGAACACGAAATGCTGCACGAGTAAGCTTTGTTGGCACAAAAGGCCTTATCCGTTGAGTCTGGCCTGCCGCCGTAGCAATGATCCCAGCCTGGACCATCGCGTCGAGTGTGATAGGATGGATGGGGTACTTAGGAGTATAGGATGCATCTTTCGCCAATGCCGAATTGGAGTCAACTTTAGCGATAACGACCTTCTTAGACCTGGACTGCGGTATTTGAATATCATCTAGTGATTGAAACAGGGGGCCATAGTTGAGTCCAACATTCTCAAAGCGTTGATACCAAATCCGCTTAGCTGATAGCTCAAGCGAGGACTCATCAATTTGGGATGCTGACTTCATAGACTTGATCTCAATATCCTTGTTGACGCATATAGTGCCAGTGGAATGAATGGCAGCAACGCCCTCACGGTGGGAGGATATAGTGAAGTCCCACCACGTCTTGGATGAAGATACCTTACTTAGGGCATAGGGTTTTAGATTTGTAAAAATCTCAGTATCTGGCGTCGATGCGATAGGTATGGTCAGGGCCTTGACGATATGCACATTGCGCATCTCAATACCAGTCCCTGGTGTCAGGGATGTTTCAGTAGCCTGACTGACTGCTTCCATAGCCATGGCAAGAATTGCACCACCTGGTAATACAATAGTATCGCCAAGCTTATGGTCAGCCAGCCATGGGAGGTCATCCCATCGTAGCACGTTTCTCCAGTTGATGTCTGTATCACTCCCCCCAGGAATTTTGCAGCCAAGCAATTCGTGGCGGCCAATAGAGCGGTTACGAAACTCATAGCTGAGACGGCACTCACTCCACAACACATCATTGTATGACCAGGGGTATGGTGGCAGGTTCGGAATCACGCTCGGCTTCCAAGCATCCCCTAGACTAGGATTGTTCACTTTGTCCCAGGCAATGTCATGGCCGCCTAACCAGAGCCTTCCCACTAGTGAAAGCATCATATCGGTCGAACTCTTTCCACGACTCAAGGTTGGGAAATATTCTAGACTGTTATTTGCGGCGTGAAGATGTGCCTTTATTTGTTTGATGGGTAGCTCCAGCGCTGAATGGGGACCGATCTCTATAACTGTGTAGCCACTTCCAGTCTTTGCAAGCTGTGAAAACGCCTCGAAGAAGCGAACAGGGCTCTCAAGGTTCTTCCGCCAGTAACTAGCGTTGTAAGGACCGTCATAAGCGCCTCCTGTTACCGATGAAAACATGGGAGCCCTTGTTCCAATGTCGGAGAGACGAGGAGCCTTTGCTGCGCAGACGGCCAGACGCTCGTACTCCTGGCCGATCTCGCACATGTGATGGGAGTGATAGGCCCTGCCACTAGTACGCAAGAGTCGTGCAAAACACTGCTGGCCTTGTAGTCGTTGCAGCAAAGCTTCAATGGCATCCTGTTCTCCGGAAAATGTCACGCTCTCTTGACTATTGATGCATGCAATGTCAATCTTGCCCTGTAGGCCAGCAGCTGCGATTTCTTCGCGGCCCGATTGCTCAGATAGGCCAGCTACTAACATGGCCCCGTTCCTCTTTATGCCACTGACAACGTAGCCCCGATAATAGGCCATAGTTATGGCGTCTGCGAGGGATAAATAACCCGCAGCGAAGGCTGCTGCGATCTCGCCAGAAGAATGCCCGACGACTGCTTGCGGAGCAATACCCCAGCTTCTAAGGAGCATGACAAGCCCAATCTGTACAGCAACACACAACGGTTGTGAGTACGCCACGTCGGCTACCTGGCTGGTTTCCGGAGGCGCGCGAAGGGCTGTAGTTATCTTGAATGCGGGTGGGTGAGGAAGCCGCGCAAGAACCGAATCCATCTCGGCGACGGCAGTTGCAAATATTTGAAACTCGTCTAGAAGTTCCATACCCATCTGGGCCCATTGGGCACCTTGGCCGGTAAAAACAAATGCATAAGTGGAAGGAGGTTTGTGGCTAGGATCTAGTCGAAGCTGAAAGTCGGCTTCATGTAACTTGTCTGCCAAATCGTCTGGGCCAGCGATCAAGAATCCACGCTCTGAAAAATGGTGCCGGCGCAAACCAAGAGAGAAGGCCAAGTCGGGCAACGAAACATTCGCAATATCGGGCCAGCTCGCCATGTTCTTGAATCGAGCTTCTAATGAAGCAGCTGTAAATGCAGAGAATGGTAGAAGGAACTTGGATCGAACATGGCCTGGCTTGCTGAGGGTTTGGGCATATCGGGGCACATGTCTTATATGGTTCAGATATGAGGGGGCACTCTCAAGTACAACGTGCGCATTGGCACCACCGTACCCAAACGAGTTGATACCAACTCTGCGGCAACCACCTGTGGTTGAGACGGGAAACGGCTGAGCTTGAGAAACGACTTGAACATTCCGCTCTTGGGATCGGATCTTTGGGTTGAGATTTTGAACGCCAATAGTAGAGGGAATGAGCCCCTTTTCGAGCATCAGTGTGGCCTTTATCACACTTGATATCCCACTGGCAGCTTCGCTGTGGCCTATACTGGATTTCACGGAACCAATAAGGACTGGTTGCTGGCGGTGAACAGCGTCGAGGGCTTTCGACACAGCTTCCACCTCGATGGGATCACCGACAGGTGTACCAGTACCGTGACATTCAACGTAGCGTGTTTCACGAACAGATACACCAGCTTTCTCGTGGGCTTTCCGGATGACGGCCTCTTGACCGATGGCGGAGGGCTGCGTGATGCCTGGTGTGCGGCCATTTGCGTTGATGGCTGTGCCCCGGATAATGGATCGAATAGAATCGCCATCACGCAGGGCGTCGTCTAACCGCTTGACATACAGTGCCCCTACACCATCTGCCCGGCCGTACCCATCCGCTGAAGCATCAAAGGTGTGGCATGTAGAAGTCGGCGAGAGGACCCCAGCCTTCATTGTTGCGTACTGTTGCTCGGGGCTTTGTATAAGATTCGCGCCGGCCACTATTGCCCCGTCACACTCACCATTCTCCAGAGCCATGCAGGCAAGGTGCAGGCAGTACAGGGATGACGAGCAGGCTGTGTCGACGACGAGACTCGGCCCACGTAGATCAAATACGTGATTGATCCTATTGCTCAGGATAGTGCTGCCCAGTCCCGTGGCGCTGTAACGGTGCAGGTACTCCGGATCACGGAGCTGGATCTGTTGGAAATCCATGGTGAAGTTGCCCACATAACATCCGATGTTGGCTCCTGATAAATCTTCCATGCGTAGCCCAGCGCTTTCAAAGGATTCATATATTGCTTCAAGCAGCTTCCGTTGTTGTGGGTCCATATATTGTGCTTCCATGTTATTGATGCCAAAAAACTCATTCTCAAAGTTGCGAACATCTTCATCTTGTAGGAAGTACCCCCCTTTCATATTTAAACTTCCCGTATGGCTGGGATCTGGGTTATAAAAACCTTCGATATTGAATCGGCTCTTGGGGACATCGCACTGCCCAGAGCGTTCATCAATTAGTAGATCCCACAACTTAGACGGAGAATCTACGCCGCCAGGTAGTTTGCAAGCCATCCCAACAATGGCTATACTACCCTTTCCGTGTCTTCGGTTCCCATTCACTTGAGATTCTGACGCGGCAGTTTCTTGAAACGAAGCAGAGGAGGATATGAATGGTGAGTCGCCATTGGCCAAGTGAGGCTCAGCATGAGGAGGCATTTTGGTGGATGTAGACGGTGTATCTTCGATGCCTTAGAAGGATATTTGGTACAGTCAACACCAGTTTCAGTCTGACAAATAAGAGGCCGAACAATATTCTCATGAAATTATGTAAATGAAACTGGTACATCCACTGATACATCCAATCCTCAACAGTTTTATTGTTGTTTTAAGTTCCATGATTGGCAGTCGTGGTGCCGTCGCCTTAGCTATCACACAATCGCTGCACCCAGGCTCAACCCTGGCATGATGTTGTATTAAGCATTACATAATAGCCGGTATCTGATTAGAATATGTAGAAGCCTTCTTATTTTATCCCCCTTCCGTAAGTTTCATCACCAGAGTGGCCGAGCTGGTAGTTCCCGATCCGGCCTTCGCATCCCCGAGCCATAAGCCGACGACAGCAAGCTTGACCTAAAGACTCATTATGTACCCTGTATATTTCTATACCTACATATAGTAATATATACGAACAATACTGTCTTCTTTATGTAGATTGCAGACGCTGGCGTCTATGACCGCCTTGCTTGATGTCTGCAAGTTCTCTACTTCTTCGCGGAATAAGGTTCTCCGACATAATTCCATTTCTAGTCCGAGACTTGCAGCATGAGCCATTAGCCAATTTAGTTATTTATTGTGACCGTCTTCTCGGTTCTTTCAGAAATACCGAGGTGGTGCGAAGTGATCTCGCAGCTGTTCAAGCCGTTCGTTCCCATCCATTATTTGATCCTATATCGGCCAAAAAACATCAAGCCTTTCCCCTTAAAAACAGCAAAGGTTTACAAAATGAAGGGTGTAGCCCTCGTCACTGGGGCAGCTAGCGGTATCGGCGAAGACTGCGCTAAATCCTTCTTGGAGGAAGGCTGTGTCGGTGTCATCTTCGCTGACATTGATCTTGCTCGAGCTGAGGCGGCGGCAAAAAGTGCCTCCGCTGCCTTGGGTTCGATCACGTCCGGGAGAACATTAGCAGCGCTAAAAGTAGATGTTTCAGACTCGACCAGCGTGGATAGCATGGTGTCTAAAGCGGTAGGCATCTTTGGCCGGATCGACTATTGCGTACACAGCGCGGGTGTGGGTGCACAGGAGTCTTCATCAGTACTGGATATGTCATCCACCGAGTTTGAGAACTCCCAAGCTATTAACGTGAGAGGTTCTTTCAATGTCATCAAGGCCGTGAGCCGGCAAATGATCACACAGACGCCGCTTACTGAAACGACGCGAAGAGGCGAGAAGATCTCGCGAGGATCGATTGTGGCTTTGGCATCCGCCCACTCATTCATGGCAACAAGAAACCTATCTCAGTACACTACTTCGAAGCATGCCGTGCTGGGACTCGTACGTAGCGCTGCTTTGGATCTCGCAACCCATGGGATCCGCGTCAACGCCGTTTGCCCAGGATGGGTTGATACTCCCATGGTATCGAAAGCCACACGCGGCATCCCTGAAATTCGAACCTACATTGAGAAGCTAGTACCCTTCGGCAGAATGGCCGAGACGGAGGAAGTTTCCGAAGTCGTACTTTTCCTGTCAAGCTCACGTGCTTCCTTTGTAACGGGCGCGGCATGGGTAGTAGACGGCGGGCTAACAGTGGGATTTCCCCCTGGTCTGGTATCATAGTCTTTGTCTCTTTCGTATTCTACATAAGGCATTGAATTCACATGGAATTTCACGTCCAAAGATAGCGATCAACTTCAGGTTTTAGCGTAAATTTAGGGCATGCTTAATTTGCAACGTTGAACAAACCGAGGAATGAAAAACGAGGACGACATACACACGGCTAGAGCAAATAACGAAATAAAGAGATATCCACGATACCCATATGTAGAATTAGGATGACACAATTGTAATCGATATCTCTAGTTCCCGACCAAAAGGTGATGCTATTACCGACTGGATTATTTCGAATGTGCGGTCCACATAAGGTTCATCGACCTTCCAAACCGTCCAACGTTAATATGCCGAGACGTCCAATTATCGTCTGCAGATACCAATTTAGTAATGTCAGTAACCGATAATAAGAATGTCAGCCATATCGGGTTCGGGGAGCCGGCAATGAGGCCATCGGTCATCTTCCTTCACACATTGATCTGCCATAGGATGTGGGCCAGCTAATGTGCCCGAGTGCCCGATAGCACAGTAGTATTCTCTAATGTTCCCCTTTGCCCGTAACGAAGGATGATTTATTTCACCTACGGGAAGTTTGATAATGTAGCACTTTCAGGATTGATACGGCTTTGACCATTACTGTCTGACGATACTACGTTATAGGAGCAAGATCCCTTATTCTCTTTACCCTCCTTAGAGACTAGTTGGTACTTTAAGTGAATAATTGTTTCATTTTTTTTTCGTCGCAAAGGTACCTTCCATTATATTGAAGAAAAAAAATGGCGTCTCAAAAGCAAGAGCAAGGACCCATCACTCAATTTCCCGCGGCCGACCTTCGGCCTACAAAGCGGTTCATCACGACACACAACGCTGAACGCAAGGCTGTTTTCCTCGCAGACGATTCAGGGGATCACCACAAGATCCTGGTCAATGGGAATGCCGCCGCCAACATAATATACAGCACACAAGGCGCCCAAGTAGACCTCAATGACGAAAAAGACGTTGCCTTTGCGAAAGCCAATGAGCCGCCTATCCATGTGCGCAGCGGCAGCGTTGCTCGCTTGATCGACTTTGCTCCCGGCATGGAGAGCCCCATCCATCGCGCCATGAGCATCGATTATGGAGTTGTTATTGAGGGAGAATTCCTCCTCACACTCGACAGTGGGGAGAGTCGACGAATGCTGCCAGGTGACTGTTCTGTGAACCGCGGCGGGAATCACAAGTGGAAGAACTTGGACGAGAAGAAGAGCGGCCGAATGCTGTTTATTCTGCTTGATGTTGCCCCTCTCTACGTTGGTGGTCAGTTGATGGAAGAAGACTTGGGGGAGATGGCTGGCGACTATGCCCCTCATCCGGAATAGCCAGACAGTTATTTGTGATAATTATATACTGTTTCAGTTTCCTTTTTGTATTCGACTGTAAATTTCCAACTGGTGATGCTAAAGTTCGATTTTGAGGATCTGTAACTCACCAATTTGCTTCCGTGAGCTAGCCGTCGTTGAAAAAAAGACTTAAGGATCATAATTAAAATGTTTCGTTAACTTCCGAATCTGCCTGAAATATCATTTCTCGGCGAGGTTGCACGTGAGCTTTTCGTGCAGTTGCAAATTTATAAAAACACACTGTGTGCCCCTAGAGACCAAAGCGAGCTCATATTTCACCGTCCGTTTCAACACTCCAATTTAGAGTCTTCTCAGTAATTCTGTTGGTGTCACTACACCACCATTAAACGTCCAAGTCTATACTACTACGCAACATATCTGATCCTACAACACTTACTCACACTTACACCGACAAATCCTAATCAAACTTGAGCTCATTGACTGGTCCCTGCCATGTCGTTGCTGTCGTTTATTCATTCACAGCTGTTTGTCGAACCTCCGATCCCTGATCATGACTTCACAGGGCAAACCTTTGTCATTACTGGAGGCAATACCGGCCTCGGATTCGAGGCTGCCAGGCTTTTGATGCGTTTAAATGCGTCTCGAATCATTCTCGGCGTTAGATCCTTGGAGAAAGGCGCAGAAACTATTAGCCGCCTGAAGAGCAGCATTGGCCATACCTCAGCTCCTTGCTCCTTGGACATGTTTGAATTGGATTTGGAAAGCTACTCATCGGTTCAGATGTTTGCAAAGTCAGTGGGCACGCTAGGTCGAGTTGACGGCGTTCTTCTCAACGCCGGGAAAGTGACCCAAAAATTCTACTTGGCCGAGGGGAATGAAAGCACGTTGACAGTCAACGTCACCGCAACATTCTTACTGGCTATTCTCCTCCTCCCAGTTTTACGCCAGTCAGTGACAGAAGGGGGTAGCAGCCCACGCTTGAGCATTGTCAGCTCAGACCGCCACGTCGAAAGTAAATTACCTGAATGGAAGAAGAGTAACACATTTGCTGCTCTGAATGACTCTAGCAGAGCAGTAATGGATAAACGGTAAACACCCCTTTTCCATTGTGATCGTCCCTCCCCCTTATTTACTATTTAAGGTTGACTTGCCTTGTCCAGCTATCACGTTTCGAAACTACTCCAGATACTGATGGGGAGAACTCTTGCCCAGAAGCTTGGGGATGTTCAACAGGGAGGGAACCAGATTATTGTCAATATGATGACCCCGGGAATGTGTAAGTCCGGGCTAATAAAGAATCTGCGCGGGCTATTCGGGGCGCAAACCGCCGTCATGAGTCGGTTGCTCGCAAGATCCACTGAAGTGGGTGCCAGAACACTTGTTGCTGCCTTGGCCCAGGGCGCCGAGAGTCACGGAAAATACATGAACGATGGACGAGTACAAGAGTAAGATATCCTGCCCGGTCCAAGTTTTCATGAACCAACTGCTAATTCGTCGGTCACAATCACAGGAGTGCATTGTCCTCGTTTGTGCGCAGTGAGGAGGGATCGTTGGCAGCGGCGAAGGTCTGGGAAGAGTTGTTAAGTCAACTTGAAAGTGTCCAACCCGATATTCGATCGATAGTTTGCCAACCAAAAGTCTGAGGAGCTCTGCACTTCATGACTTGGTACAATTTTTACCTTAAGCCAAGTTTTACGAGGGATTTGCACGCGCATTGCCCTAAAGCATTCTACATAATTAATGGCGAATTGGCGATAATTAGGTACATCGAATTACTGTTTTAATATATGAAGGCTATTGTATCAACTACACGTTAGCTTAGCTTAAGAAAGTCGCATATCCTTAAATCCGGGTTATAATACGTTAGAGGACCAATATACCAGTTAGTCGGCTTGAATAAGCCACGAGCTTATGCTCTGCGAACCACTCCAAGTGTTTGAACCCTGCTATATTGCTAGGATCAACATAGAAGTCACGCCGCGTCGTCTTTCTAGTTAGGACACGCGCATAGATCTTTTGCACATCCCCGAGGACCCCGAGGTTCCCGAGCCACACAAAACGGCAAACCCCTAGCAATTACCGAGCACACTGTATCATTCGTTCGCTAATACCCTCTTTCTTGCATTCCCGAAGCCCGGCTTCTCCCATAAGAGTATTCGGCGTGAAGCCTTACGATATTATTACTATTGATTTCGGTGAGGGAGATCTGTTCATCTATGCTATCTCAATTTAGATATCTGTAATCTCTAAGGATGCCTACGTAGCACTCAGAATAGCCTCACCACTGTGGTTGCATGCCTACTTATCTCTGGCCTCTAATATCCTTAGACATTCAACAAGGGAAGGACATGCGTGTGAAAGGATTGCAGCAAGAATGGGGCCTGTAGTATCCCGCTATGGTTCTTTAATTGTGAATGCTAATTTTTGATACTGATAGGATTCTGGAAATTCTTTCTACTGCCGCTGAGGATGGGGCCCTTCTGCTTCTAGATGCAGAAACCTACAGGACAAACATGCCTTATTTATCCTCTGTTGGAACAACATCCATCTCCTCGTAGTAACGGTAGATGCCAATAGAGTACTTCTGCCGTCTCTCACTGGCAAGGTATGCTGCAATGCGTGGCCTTGCCTTGACAGCTTCATACAGCGCAAACACTCTGTCATACTTGCCCGACTCCTTGGCAGCTGCCATGACTTTTGGGAAGGCAAACAATGTGCCGTCGATGCACTATATTATTGATTATTAGATCGGACGGTCGATGATTGAGGGCGCAAAACAGCGCCCAGCATGAAGAGTGCGGGGAGGTGACTTACCTGGAACATCACAAGGTCTGCGTAGGTGAAGGTGCCGTTGTGCAGCCAGGGTCCGTCTCCGCTTGCCTCGCCCTTGAGCACACGCTCCCAGTAGCTAAGGTGCTTGGGCAGGCGAGTCTTGACAAACTCCTGGCCGCGCCGCAGGGCCTCCGTCTTTTGGTCCTCGTATGAGAGTTCCTTGGCAATGGGGTGGTGGGTGTCGTGAACCTCATTGCTCAGGCCGTCTAGGGCTGTGAGGACAAGGGCATTCAATCTGTAGATGGCAAGGGCATCGTCGGTCGGAGCGAGGCCAAGCCTGGGCGCCAGGTACATGAGAATATTGCTTGTCTGGGGTATCAGAAGATCCCCGTGCTTGAGAATGGGGGGCGAGTAGGGAGGGGCATTGGCCTTATCCCCAAAGTTGGTGTCGCCCATCTGAGCCCAGACAATACCCCCGCACTCTTCCATGCCCAGGCGAGCCGTGTCAGAGTAGGTGGCACCTGATTCCTCCAGGGCGAGTCGAACATGTTCGCCTCTGCCGGGGGCTCCAGGCCAATAGATGAGCTCGTATGGTGCAGGCATGGTGTGGGCGTTGCTGAATAGGCTGTCAGGGCTAACTCAATGGGATCTTTCCACATGGACTACTGGAATGTGTCTTTTCTTGGTTTCCTCGGGAGGCGGCAAGGTTTTAAATAGGCAGACGGGGATCAACGCGCGGCCAGACCCAAGAAATAGGGCTCGCCATTGTCTCTGTTGTACGTGCGTAATCATTGAACTTAATGCACGTTGGTCACTACTCTGACATCCCCGCTTTCAGGCCGATTGCCAGGCAAGACAATGCTTATTGTATGACATAATAACAATGCAGTAGGAATGTGTGGGTGTGGTTGCATTCTTGCAGCCGGTGATGCATCCCTCCTTCGGGGAATGAATGTCCTGATCCCTCCCGCCTCCCCGTGCCGTGTGAGAACCTGCCCGTGTAGAGCTGCGCATATCGCCTGGAATGGGCTGGAGTTAATCATACCATGTGGCGGTGATCCATCTCAGCCGTAGAAATGAAACCAAACCGTCCTTCTGATCCTTGCTTGCGTTGATTGCAACTAGATATGGAGGTACCCATCGCCCAAGTACTTTTCCCCGTTTCTGTTCTTTTCCCACCACCTCTTTGCGTTTCATTCTTTCCGTCAGCCCATCTCGATAACGAGAGGTCTTTGTTCTATCTTCTCATAGGCTCTTCACCTTCGCTGCTCAAGGTTTTCCGGCTCGCGCAATGTCTATGTTCCCGCCAGAGGTGCTTGAGGGGCCGGCCGGCCCACCACCTGACGGTGTCATGCCCATCCTAGACAATCCCCCAATCAGAATACGATGGTGATCGCAGTCATATCCGTGTATATGGCTCTGACGACTGGTTTTGTTTCTACCCGGGCTTTCGCCAAGCTTGGGTACTTGAAGAGTGCTAGGCTTGAAGATTGTTAGTTCTTCGAGACTCATCTACCGATGATAGGTGGAAAGTGCTGAGACGCCCGACCTTGGTTCGCTATGACAGGAGGATAAGCAAGAGTCAGGGGGGATAGAGAGGCTAAAGGGGGGGGGACTACGCGTATTTTGTGGTGGCAACATTAAGTGTTTGGGTTAGATGTGGCAAGTCACGGCAGGTTTATACACAGAAATCGAACAACGGCGGCAGAGCGCGCCAACAAGAAATTTCAATTAATCTTCATACTAAATATTGGCTCTAATTAGCGCGAAGTTCAAAGAAATGGGATAGAATTCGACATACTGAGATAAACCCAACAAAAAAAGAAAGAAGAAAAAAAAAACCGACAACCGCCGAAACCCCTAAGGTAAGACAGTAAGTTTGTGTTTATCAAGGGCTGTAAGATGGCGCTATACATACCCGAAACCCGAAGATCATTTTTTTTTAGTCCTTTCCAGAGAGTAAGTAGTTAGTACATGTTGATACCATGTTATTGGAGAAAGGGGTGTATTCTTACGGTCTTGGCAGTCTCAGCCTCGGCCTTCTCCTTGGCCACTTGGTCCTCGTAGTCTTGGACCGCAGTCTATTACTTGTGAGTTGTGCCTGCCTGTGAAGTATACTGGCTACCTGATGTCTGCTTACCTCAAGAAGGGACTCAAGGTCCGCCTTTTTATTATTCATTAGCTGGATTATAATAATAATTGATGATGGGTTGAGACTCTACCGCAGGGGTTCGTTCCTGTTTGAGACAACAAAAGTATCAGTATTATTACCACGAATACAGAAATGTTCCAGTACTTACATCCCTCCTCTTGCGCCATTCCTGAGAAGCAATAATAATCAGTAAAGTGAGTCACCAGAGTTAAGGACTAGGTTGGGTTCTTACAGAAACCTTCTTGACGCAATACTATGAAAGATAGAGTCAGCTTAAAAGACGTCCAAAGCACTGCGAAAGAATCTTACTTTTCGCTGGCTTATGGCCAGCTTCAGGTACTTGTTAGCTAGACATCAACATTGGCGTCTTGCAGAATGGCTCAGACTTACCTCCTCCTCAGTTATGGCCGTCTAAAGTATCCCACAATTAGTAACATGAATCGGAATTGGGTTGTCATAGCATAAGATCTTACGCGGGCCTTCTCCTCCCAGGTCTAAAAAGAGTCAGTTTTAACATTACACTAGCCAATAGGGAGAACACTATACCGCAAGAGTCTGCACAGCCTCCTATTATAAGTATATATCAGCAAATATATTCTCATAGTCTCGAATAGATCACACTTCTTACCTCGTACGATCCGGGCTGATTGTGTGTTAATATATTCCCAGTTATCTGAACATTCATCGCGATTTTCAAGTGTGAAACATACGGCAGGACGTTGCTTCTATAGAAAATGGTTAGATGGAAATTGGGCACGTGGAACGCATAATAACATCTACTCACCTTGGCGGGGGGGGCGGGGGGATTTGGATCCTCGAATTCCAATGTTAGTTCGTCGATCACCCGTAGAATCAATTTTCCGAGGGTATTCTTACCGGTGCCGGAGCACCCGACGCAGTCGACATCTGGTACCGATAACACGTCTATAGTTAGACTAGGGCGCTTTTTCGTACGAGTATTGGAGAATCTCACGTTCGAAGCGGCCCGCTGGAATGAATTATGTCAGTCAAACTTCATCTATATAGAAGTAGTGAATGAAAGGGTTCCAACTCTTGTCGTACCTTCGCATTGGCCTCTTGGCCTTTGTTCTTCTTCTATAAGTGTCGTTTAGTCAAATGACTTCGCCTGAATCCAAGTGACTCCGTTCACATACACCGAGGGACTTCTAAGAATCAAGTTAGCTTCCAATCCAAAAAGTAGGCGTATTGATAGATACTTACCTTGGGCATTTTGTTGCTTTGATTAGAGAATAAGGTCAGTTTTATCCATGCACCAAGCTGGTATATCAATCTACATACTCGCGAAATGGAATTTGAAAAAAAAAAAAAAAAAAAACTAAAAGCGTCAGCACTAAATTAAACAACATGCCTTATCAAATGATGGGAAACATACCAGAAATTTGCGGACAAGGAGGAAAAGAAGAAGGACAGAAACGCGAACCTCGAACGAGACGTAAAACCTCAGGCACAGACATTCTACCACCGCCCAATTTACCGCTTGCCTCTTTTGGTGGAGTGGGGACTTGTTAAAGTTTACGGCCAGGCGAAAATCTCCACAGGCTACGCCAAGTGGGAAATAAATTTCTACAAGCTACAACTTACAAGGGCTAGAGAAAACCTTCGCTCCGATGCCTCCTACGCCACCGGGACAAGCCACTTGTCGAATTCCTATTTAGTCTGCCCTCTTTCGCCTGACCTACTCTGTATCACAGCATTTACTTCTATTCACCTCAGTTCACCTCGCGGCACCAAGCTCAAAACCCAAGTCCAGCTCCAACGCCCAGTCCGCACACCAGGTCCAACAATACCAACAAGCCGACTTCATATTTTGACCCGCTCCGCCTTACTACAGCGTTTGACTTTTCCCTTTCCTCTTCATCTTCTCCTCGAGGACACACAACATACTCCTTATCCTAGAGTGACAAGGACATACCACAATGGCTTCGTTCCACGGATTCTCCGACTTGCCGTACGAACTTCGGCTCCAAATCTGGGAACATAGCATCCGACCGTTAGCAGAGGGCTACTCTGGCATCCACTATCTCTCAATTTCCACGTACAAAAAGATGTCCGTGCGTGGAGAAGTAACTGGATACCATTTAAAGATACCAGGCATCAACAAAACAGGTCGGGAGCCAGTCAACCGATCTGCCAGTATGTGGGATGTTGGTCTGTGGACAGCATGCTGGGAATCTCGTCAGGTAATCATGCGCCACTGGAATATGGAAAAGATGTTGGAAAGGAGACGCATGCTTCATGATGCTCATCAGCCATCCTCGCTGCTTAGGTCATGGCCGGACAGGAAAGAGCTTTGCACTACGATGAACAAGCCAGCTCTATACACAGAGACCGACCGAAGAGACCTGCAACTCATGATTCGCCCATTCCAAGACGCCTTCTACTTTGACCCGGAAACCCTCTACAAAGCGGCCAGTATCTCGATGCACCATATATTCATTAATAGCCATGTGCCATTCTTTGAACGCATTGATGGTAGTTATGAGTCTGAGCAAAACTTCATATTTGAGTTTGACCCCAACTGGCTCAATGACAAGTGCCAAACCAAAGACCTGTACCTGGAAGAGTCTCCACGTGGATTCATCGCAAGATTGCTGCGGATCATTGCAGATGATGGGCTCGATAATTGCCACATTTGGCTGATTGACCGCAGCATCTGTCAATCCAGTGTTGGCAAGGAACCCGACGACGACGACATTGGTGGCTTCTGGAAAAAACAAAGATCTCATCGAGTATTCTATACCTGCGATGAAGAGTTTGTGGATGTTGGAATGGGCGGATACCGACGATTTGATTCACCTTGGGCGGGAGACAGCGAGTACGGGTCGTGGCGGGGAGACGGCTTCGACAAGTGTGATGAAAAGCAACTTCGCGCCGCACTTGCGAGGGAAGAGAATGGATTCGCCGGCTGCTTCGTACGGATGCTCTCACAAGAGAATGACTACTTGACTGAAGTGAGGAATTATGATCCAGACATGATGAAATTTGATCCACACATGTTCGAGCGTCAGTGTGAACTTCGGCCTTTTGAAGTGGAAAAGCACCTGCATGTTCTCGGCTATAATAGGTAGAGGCGCCAGGGTCTTCTTCTTTTTTTTTTCTGTTACAGGGGTAGCTATTATTAGAGCTGAGGTGTTATACTAATACTATCTATATTCCTTCTTATCCTGTCCAGATCATCAAGATGATATACACTCGCATCATTAGCTAGGCATATAGAGCACATTCAGCATTCCGTTAGACACATACGACCATGTCCATTCGAGAACACGCGATCCCGTCTATCTCACTCCAAAATAAAGTCATTTCTATCCCTTTTAGGACTCCCAGCATTAATACCAGCCTGCTAATGATTGCTGCACCTCGGCGAGCTAGAGAATGAGGGGCAGCTTCTCCTTTCAAACTCTTCATTCCGTCCCATCATCAGACAAACAATCGGATCGTGGCACGCCTCATGGCCAAACTACTCCATCATGGCGGAGAAGCCAACAGTTCATGACGGCTATGAATGAAGGCGAAATGGCACTGGGACTTGTTGGAAATAGGGCGCAAGTCCAGGCTATCACGGAGATGCTGAAAGAATACGAGTGACAAAGCCAATGGTTTCATTCCAACGAAAGCCCCTTCTTCCCGGTCAGCCACATCTCAGAATCAAGGAAAACTTACTCTCAAATAGAAATTATACCAACACTCATCACCTGCCATTGGCCCTTTCTGCTATCCGCGGTCACAATCAGTAAAAAGACCCAGGGCCCACGAGGGAGCTCGACTGGGCTTTTGACGCAAAGATCCAGGGCCCGCATAAGAGCTCGGCTGGTCTTTTGCGTGCGTCTCTTACATTGCCTGAAGCCATAAATGGCCAGGTCCCCAGGCGGCACCACGAGGAGGTTGTAAGAGTCCGACTTCGCCGCCCTTCCTCCACCCAACAAAGCCCACAGGTGGAGGCACCTTCTCTTCAACGAGATCATTATAATGACTGATGAAGAAAGGATTTTTGCCACTATCCCTAGTGCATAAACCGTGGGAAGTGGACTTGCCAACACAAAGTGAAGGACCTTCTCCTCAACGAGTTCAGAAATTTGACTGATGAAGAAAGGATTTTTGCCACAACTGAGGTGCATAAACCATCAGAAGCGGACTCGCCAACACCAGAACACCAATTCATGAATTGGAAAGTGGTTTAGGTGCGACTTTGATATCATCCCACTTCCCTTCGACATATTTGCTCGGGAAGTCAGGTGCTATCTCGGCCGATAGCCGCCGAACAGCTTGCTCGTGAGCGTCGTTGGCATTTGCCATTGACACCGCTGTTGGCTCCACACTGCCATCGTGGGCCGGCCCAGAAATCGCATTCGCCAAACGAAATGAAATTGCTGATTTATACGCCGTGGCTTGCTCGGACGTAAAAGTACCGTCTGCCTCTAGCGTTTGGGCCTCTTCCTTTCTTGCGTTTGTGGCTTCGTAAAGCTGTTGCCAGTCAACGTACAAGAAGGAATTGCCACTTACTCCATTGCTCCACCCACCGTCTTTGGGACAATCCTCAAATTTGGGAAGCGGGCGATGTGCAGCCCCGTTGCGGTCATCATAAAAGTAGATCCAGCTGAGGGCAGTCAATCTTGGAATGTTGGCTTTTGTGCACAGTAGAGCAAGTCGGTCGAGGTACGGAGTCCTTGGTGCAGTCGTGGCATCCTCACCCGATTGCGCCCAAGACTTGACCAAATCCCATTCTGGATCGAGTCTGGCTTTCGCGCTCTCCGCATTCTGACCTTTGAGAAGGTTCCACTTTGTATGTTCTTCGGCGGTTCCGTCTCTCCCTGTTTCTATGAGCCAATCCCTCACCATTTGTTTATAGGCGGAGTTGGAGGCAACGCATTCCTTTTCAGGTGACTTCAATAAGTCTATAGCGTCTGAAAATGCATCCCCAGAGTCGTATCTGAATCTCTGGTTCGCCTCGGTGGCTCGAAGGGATTGAAGTGTGGAACTGCGGTCGACCATCTTGACAAAGGTTTTATACGATGTCTTCAACAGCCTGCAGTGATTGTGACCTATTTTTTGAGCTTTTCCTGCTTCTTTTAATAGGGTCTTACCAATAGCCTCGGTGCCTGATGTTAGATCACCATCTTCGGTTAGCTCTCCGACTTTGGTAACGATTCTTTCCACCTCCCTGGCCCTCTTGGCCCTCTTTCGAATCACTTTGCTCGTCTTATTGGATGGCATGATTGCGGGAGTTTGTTTAACTTTGTAGAATTGTACTTTGAAAAAAATCGTATTTGGATATTGGTTTTTTTGAATTATGAAGAGCAGAAGAAGGGAGGACATCCCAAGTCCACTCCAAGTCCTCTCATCATTCTTGACAGCCCAAGGCAGGTGCGTCCATCTTTAGGGTTTGGACCAATCACCTGTTGCGAAACCCGTACCTTCCATAACCAAGAGAGACTTGCAGGCCCGGGGAGCAAGACGCACCTGCCAGTCCATAAAGAAATGCATACCGCTGCTATTGGAAGTCGTTCAGTAAGGTACCCAGCAAGTACTCACCCTCGATGCCAGTCCGTACCTACCTACCTAGACGCACCTTCCTTAGGTATGTACAAAGACTACCACCAAACAGCAGACAGAGAGGTCGGGCTCGCAGCGATCGCTTATCACGACGGAAGACAGCTAGGTCGTGTCCGTAGCAATCGTTCGTCGCAGCAGCAGACAGAGAGGTCAGGTTCCTACCTGGATCACGGTTAAGATCAAGGAAGGGTCTGACTTACGGCTCGAGGATGTAGCTGTTGATCGTATTCACCTGGACCGCGGCGGATAGGGTCTGACTGACCGGATTGAGGCTGCTGTAGCTGTTGATGCTCTATTTGCCGTGACCTGGACGAATACGATCAACAGCTATAGCCTCGCCGTAAGTCAAACCCCTCCTTGATCTCGCTGACCGCGATCCAGATAAATGCGATCAACAGCCGCAGCCTCGAGCCATAAGTCAGACCCTTCCTTGATCTTGCTAACCGTAATATTAGTGAATACAATCAATAACTGTAATTGAACAATTGTAAATTTCCTAATCAGGTCACTTCCTAATTTAAGGTAGGTAAAGCTGGCCCCAAAACGGTCGCAGGATCCTGGAAAGACTCAAGAGCGATGAGCTGGGACGTTTTAGGGCTCGGCATTCTGGGCGCTAGACCGCCTCGAGATCGCTGCAGGGCTAACGTAAGACTTGGATGCCGCCAGGAGGCTTGGTGACACTTGGCACCCAATCACATGTGAAGTGCTAAAAAAAATAGAACATGGGAAGAGGATCGAGGAATTACGTAGCGTCACACTGCCACTACCGCCAATTAACCCCTGCCGCGGCCAACAATTTATCGACTCGGCAGGCCCTTCCCTTTCTCCCTTCCACTCGTAGTTCACCTTCATCATCATCATCTCATAGCGATCGAATTCCCTCCATTCTTTAATTTCTCTTTTTGCTTCCAGTTCCCTGTAGCGTCGTCCTTTACCCATTCTCACAGCTGCGTCTACAGTTCCATTGACAGCAACATCTCAAGTCGACCCCGGCCCATCCGTTCTCTCCAGCACAATCCAATCTAGACATAATTATCACTACGCTCATAATGGCGGCCAAACTCGAGTCATCGCCCAAGATGGCCTCATATCTCTCTCGGTTCAGCCCTGTGCCAGCATTTCCCGAATACACTGGTCCCTACAAGGTCGGCACAATGGACGTCGAAATCGCCGTCTCTGAAATGATCTCCCCAGCTCCCACTCCTCAAGAAGCTGCCGATATCCCAACAGTCCAGTTCCGAATCTTTTATCCCGCCACCGACGACACCGATGGGAAGCCCATCCCATGGCTGCCGACCCCCCAGAGGCCACATGTGTCGGGCTACACTGAGTTTATTGGCATTTCCAAGACGCTCGCTGGCTTTCTCTCGTGCGTGCCGCCCCATACTAACACGCCGTTTTCCCAGTCACTAACTGGCGATATAGACTTCTTCCCAGACATCTGTATTATTCCTCAATCCCCGTTCATAAGAATGCAGCAGTCCGACAGCCCGAGACAGGGAATAAGCGATGGCCAACCATGATCTTCTCCCACGGCCTGGGAGGCACTCGAAACTCGTACTCGTACATTGCTGGCTCGCTTGCCTCCCATGGCGTTGTCGTCTTTTGCCCCGAGCATCGTGATGGCAGCGCCGTGGCTTCCTTCATTCGAGTTCCCGGCGAAAGACCTCAGGGCCGATACTTTGCGCCTCCTCGCCGATCCATCTCTTATCGCAGAATCCCCCATGAGGTGACAGATGAGGTCTATGAGGCCCGGGAAGGCCAATTGCGTGTCCGTCTTTGGGAGACGGCATTGATTCATGACGCCATTCTGAACATCGATGCTGGCGCAAGATTCATTAATTTGAACACCTCCACACCAACGCTGCACCAGTTCATGGGACGACTCAATGTAAATGAGCCCGGCAGTATCATTTTTGCTGGCCACAGCTTCGGTTCTACTACCATGTACCAGTTGCTGAAGAGCACATACTACGCTGACCGACCTGAGTTGGCCGAGATGGAAAAGCCACTGTTCCGGCCTGCTAAGGGCAGTGCAATCCGCAAGCAGGTGACAGAGAAGACTGTCACAATGCTCCTCGATATGTGGTGCATGCCACTTCTTGGCCCCAATTGCGCGCCTCTGTTTTCACTACCTCTGCCTCTTTATGACGATGTCCCCTCGGCTGCTGGCGGCAACGCCCTACTCGCCGTCGAATCCGAGGCATTCTTTAAATGGAAGGAACATTTGAACATCAAGGCCCGGCTGCTCTCTCCCAATCCGAGTGCAAAGGAGGTAGTGCCCACGGTCTTCGAGCGGCCTAGCGGTATCAAATTGACGGAGCCCAACTTCTTCTACGTTGAGAACTCTGCCCATTTGAACCAGTCTGATTTTGGTGTTCTATTCCCTTGGCTGACCAAGAAGATCTTCTCTGCCGAACAGCCCGAGAGGGCCCTTCGTCTCAACCTGCGTGCCCAGCTTCAACTCTTCCGAGCCAATGGTATTCCAATTGCACGTACATGTTTTGATGACTTGATCGATGGCTCCCACATCGACAAGCTGGACATAAAGAAGAAGGACGGCGATGCCGTGGAGACCGAAGACGGACTGCACGATGACAAGGCCATCTTTGATCGCAGTGCTAACAATACCGTGGAATGCTGGAACTGGATCGACATTATCGGCCTTGGCGACATGAAGAACGAGGAAGAGACCGGCAAGACCGTTACCCAACAAGTCGAAGAAGCGGAAGAAGAAATGAAGGGCCAGCTCGAGCCATGCGAGCAAACATCTACACCTGCAGCCACGCAAACGCTGAGCGCTGCTGTTGCGGCTTAGGGAGACGGGTGAACCGCTCTACCCAATTTATGAATGAAACTACGAACGACGATACCACCACTTGCATGCGTGCACTTTTTTTCTGTCTTTTTTTCTCTTCTTCATTTCTTGACCTACAACGGTTGAAGCTCGCACGCTTTTCTTTCTGGCTTACTTTTTTCACTTACCTTTTTTTCTCAGCCTTGATCATACACTTGGGATTTTTTTGTCGTGGAGAACACTACAGACGTGGAGTTGGAAAAGATGTGGCGTTTATTTTTGGCACGGAGGAAGCTCACTCAGTCATACCTGTACATTATTACCCCTTAAATTCGCTTTGACAGCGTTCCTGGATTAGATTTGTTACTTTTTTTATCCTGTCTCCTCGGAACCATCGTGCCCACCACCCACATGCCTCTGTTCTGTGATCTTACTCGTGCACGTCGTTAACTAGGCACAGCCCCTGTTTCGGGTTAGTAATGACATTGGCCGTCAGCAATAAGAGTGCTGTCGATTAATCATTCCAATATTGCCTGATTTTAACGAAAATAGACAGATAACAATCCTGTTTAAAATTACCAGCAGGGTGGTTGCATGGTAAGAAAGAGTGACAGCAGCAACTACCTGCCATGGTTCTAAACATCGTGCCGCTTGCTGGTGGTCTACTCCGACGAAGATGGCTACCCTATACCTTTCCGTTTTGGCTTGGTCTAGATTAAGTGCATCAAGACTGTTACCAAAAGGTTTTCTCAGTGTAGGACCAGAGGTGCTCTGTATTTTCTAGTTGTCAGGGTTTTTTATTCGTACTGATGAAAATTGTGGTTACGCCCTGGGATCGTCTTTTCGGCTGTTAGGTAGTCAATATATGATTCAAGGCGCTTGATTAAGTACCAGTTCCAACTATTTCGTCGGCTTCCAAGAATATTCTAGCTGAAAGAGGTTCTTAGGTGACGAAGAGCTCATCGGCAATAAATGGAATCCTAATTAATAAATTTATATCATAGACTTGCATCTTCGACACTAAACAAATATACATCTCGAACTATCGTAAGCAAGAGGCCAAATACTTGAAGTGAAGTATTAGACTGTTGGATACACAGAGTGCGAGTCAAAAACAGGAGAGGGATCAACAAATAATAGGGTATGGATACATTAAATGTGCTGAGAGGCTGTGTGATTGTAATAAGATCTACTTTGAGTCGTGAGGCTGATTTATCTTATAGGAGGCGTTCGGCTCGACGAGAAATATTTACCTGGTATTTCAGAACTTTGCTGATAAAAGCGTATCTTTGTAAAGAAACCTACCGAAAGTTGATTTAGATACAGGATAAGAGCATTTATTAGAGGTATACTATTTGTATATAATATAAAAAATAATGCCAGGACCTATCTGGAATTTTCCATAACTGTTCCAAGATTCTACAACTCGAATTCGATCAATAAGTACGGTTTTATCCGTATGCTATTTCGTCTCTGCATATTACTTCTCCACGACTGATTTAATATCCTAGGATTAGGGAGATAATGGTAGTAATTAGTTGAACAACTTGAGACATACTGGAGCTAACTGCATAATGAGAGTTGCAATATCACTAAAAAGATCCGCTGTCAGAAGATCGCTGGGCTTTGTAATGAGCGTGATAATTCTGTTCAAAATATCCGTCGTCAAAAGGCTGCCTGCGTTATCAAGAAGGGAGCTGAGTTTAACGACAATTGACGCAATGAGTTGGATGAGGGAGTTTATATCGAGGTCTTTGAGTTGACCGACCAGAGGCTGGATATCATCTAGGAACGTTTCGAGGTCCCGAAAAGCCTCCGAAATGATATCCTCACAGCTTTACAGCCTTCTATCCTGCTCTCTCTTCTAAATTTCGATTATCGGACACAAGTTGCTTCAGAATTCCACGCAGCAAATACACTAGGGTGGTGCGAAGTGAGCACAACTCATTTGCAGGAATACAGATCCTTCCCGTCAAAGGCTCATCATAGAAACAACCCGAGGTCAAGCGTTCCTTTGCGTAATTTGCGTAGCACAATGAAACTTTAGTTACATCAATGACAGAAGGCCTAGGAGGAAGCGGCACGTCTACGGCATCTTCGCTAGATTTTGAGACCAAGGCTACTGCAACTTCTGTCAATACTGAGGCCTCGACTAAAAACCCAGCGCAGTCCTCTGACAGGAAAGCTACAGCCCCCGGGGAATCGAAGCCGCAGGAATCCGATAATTCTGGGTTAATAGCGTCGAAATATTCCGAAATAGAGAAACCTTCCAATACTGACTGGAAGTACCAACTTCAGACCCCGTACATGCTAATGCGGGCAACGTCCCTTCTGCGCCAGGAACTGGCAGCTCAAAGGCTCCAGAATCTGTCAAAGTTGCTGTGCTGGAGTCAGAAACTCTCGATGAAGCACAGTCAGATAGCACCAAGGCCACTGGTTTGGATGATACATCTGCAGAGAATGTGGAAACTGCTGGGGCACTGAAATCGAAACAAACTGAACCTTCAGCCACAGCTGGAACCGAATCTTCAAGTATGTCACAGTCCGCGTCTGGATCTACGTTTAAACTATCTGGATCAACTGTTTCGGGGGCTCTCGAGACACAGGTCCCAGATCACACAACTGGGACAGGCTGGTCACGCAACAAGCGAAAGGGAAACACAAAGTACAGCGATAGGAACCAAACTGTCCCACCAAGCTAGCGGCGCACCTTCAGCATCTAGGTTCAGGTCATCTAGTTCTTAAAAGGATAAAATCCACTTCAACCACTGGTGCTGCCTTAAGGACCGAACCCGTCACTAAGAGCGGTTCTGCAGTGGCGCGCAGCTGAAGGTCACTCAGAGTGCTGCAGTCGCTATGCCTACGGGTGTAAATAGCTTGACTATGGCGGGTGCATGTGGTATGGCAGGTTTCTTAGGGCCATGATGGCACTTTGAGAGGAGCTGCGGCATTTAATCACCTGCTTTTGGTTTCGCAGCATGGAAAGCGCGAGGACTACCTTGAGATTATTCGTATTTACATGATCTAAGAAACTTGGTAAAGGTCGAATTACTGTGATATTACTGGAATAAATTTGGGTTAGTATAAGGCACATTAGTATTCACATCAATCTTTGTTTCTCGTTTTCACTCAAGCACTTATAAGATTTTGGATACGGGTCTGGGTAATGAATCAAACAGTGGCGGCACCCTAGGATGCATTGAATTTGAATTTCCGACTATCTTGTTACATAACATGGCGTATCATGTCTGGAAATCTAAGCTAAGTTCTGTTTCCCCGGGCTAAAATCAAACTGGGGTCTGCAGAGTTGGTCTATAACTCGGCGAATTTGAAGTGTGAGCCCCGTTGATTTGTCTCCCATTCTCTCCGGGGGAGATCGAGTCTATGCAGATCGTGTTGTCTAACCCGTTCGCTTCCTCTTGTTGCTATGTCGGTCCAGCAAGTAAGTGTCTGATTCGCTGTAAGGAAAGAATCGCTTGAGCTTAGCACGTGGTGTCTCAGGATTGCCATTTGGAGTAGGACTACTGGTTTCTGGGGTTGACATGGACGGCATCTCACGGCACAAATTCCTCTTCTTGCTATTTGGCTCAAGGGACTGGCTGTCTGAGTCGCCGTAAGGGAAGGGTCGCTTGAGGTTACCACGGGGTGCCTCTTCGGCTGCAGGTGCTTCTGGGATACTCTTATTACACTCAATTGACATCCAGCACATCTCGCGTGGCAGAACCTCCGTCCACAGATCGATTTCCCCTATATCGACCCCGTAATCCTCCCGGTAGCGGTAGGAAGCGGTGAATTCGTTGAAGAGCCGCCTCAACAGCATCTTGCCCTGATGCGCTAGAAACCGCAGCGGCCTCCGCATCCTTTCCTCGTTCTCTTCCCAAGGTACACTGGGTGTCCTGGAATTCTGGGGGCACGCGCCTTCGGGATTGTCTAGTTCCCAGAGAAGGCCCCAGACGAGTGCCTTCCTGTATAGCCAGTACGGGTCGGACTCGAGGCCGTCGTCGTCGCCTGATGCGATACTGGCCTTTCTGAACGTATTCTCTAGATAGAAGTCGACGTCTTCTGGGATGTTCTCTTTCATCGCGCTCTCGTTGTGTAGGGGTACTCGGTGCGTGATGAACCAGTACATGTACTTGTACGCAAAGTATACCACATTTCTGCACGGATGGCGGCTCTCGTGGGTCGCGGTGTGGCAAGTCTCTGGGTCGGGGCAAGGACGTATGGAGCGATTAAGTCCTACTCCTATGAGGTTAAAAAGATGCGCCTTGTCGCCTGGGTGTTTCGTGAGAAATGGGCAGCTTGCCTTTTGAGATTCATCGTGGAGCTGCGGGCACCAGCAGCGTCTCGTATGTTCCGGCTGCTCGGAGATGTAGTACATGCCGGTCTCCTCGAAGGGCCTGGTATCCATGCCGCTCAGTTCGCGGTAGGTTTTGAGGATTAGGCGGGCGAAGCCGACGACGAAGTCGTGGAAGAAAGGGTCGTACTGCATGGCCTCTGGATCAAGCAGCATTCGTCCATCCTCAGTCCATTTTTCCCTTGGGATGCTCCATCTCGGTGAATCTTCGTCTGCAGACATTTAGCTCTTGTCGTCTGGCTCTCGCCCTAGTCGCGAGATATCAAGAGGATGAACCTACGCGACGATCGTGGGATGTCAAGAGGACGAACCTACACGGCGACTGTGGGATGTCAAGAGGATGAACTTACACGACGATCGTGAGATATCAAGAGGATGATCCTACGGGACGATTCGTGGGATGCGTGAGCTGTTTTAACTATGGTACCATTGCCACTCAGCTGCGTTGAATTGGTGATGAGCAGAAAATGGAACGCCGAACCAGAGCAAGAGAAGCAAGTCTTGAGAGGGGAATTGTGGCGATATTAATACTTGAAATCCTACTTCTGCCAGATTTCACTACAATTGAAGGAAACAGACTACCGTACCCAATTCACAAAGTGCTGAGTTTCGCAACTCAACCAAGACAATGCCTCATTGTTTGTTAAGAGCAAGTAATTATCTTGTGAGACCTGAGTGACAAAGGCAGGTGTTTACCAAATAAGGCAAACAACGATCTGACCGAAACTCCAATCTAATTATTTACTCGTCCCTTTGTCTCTTATTTCTTTGGTCTCTCCGCCCGGGCCATAAACAGCTGTGCCTGGCCGCCGAGCTCTGACGGCAGGTTAGACTTCTCGGAGCACCACCGCCATCCTATCGAGCTCAGCCCGGCTTGCTCAAAGTATCCCCGCACCTCCTTCTCCTCAAAGCCCATTCTTGATACGGTGTGCTGCACATTACTGTCTGGCGGTGGTAGAAGTGGCTGGCAGCCACTCTCTGAAGGGCTCACCCAGTCGATGATCAAGAGCACTCCTCCGTCGGTAAGTCGATCCGCTAGTTTGGAGACCATCTGCTGCGGGTTTTCGACGTGATGCAGCGCGAGGGAGATGACTGCTAGATCAAAGTCATTGTACTCGGGCGTGTTGATGATGTGATCAGATGCCGCTGTGTCTGCCGTGATGAGGTCGCCATGAACCGCATGCATCTTGTCTTGGGAGTAACCCTCGCTTGTGGCCCTCGCATTGTATTGGGCAACCATGCCAGATGAGATGTCGATACCGCGAGCTTTGGAAATATATTTCGCCAGGGCCTGGGGAGGGAAGAGCAGTCAGCTTGGGGGCGGGCTCTTTTATTTGTACTACCATGGGCTCGTTTGAAGAAGGGAGGGGCTTACTCGAGAGACCATGCCATCGCCACAGGCGTAATCAAGCATCTTTGTCTCTTGATCGGCGGTGTTGAGCGATGAACTCCCACCTTTTATCCATGCCACTTGTTCTTGGAGCTCATTCGAGACTTGGTTGGTTAGTTCCCGTACCCAAGGCTCCGAGAAGATGTTCTTGGCCACCTTGCTACACGTGCCACCGAGTTAGCGGACGAAATGGCTTGTTTCGTCTAGAATTATAACACATACTCAAAGTGTTCTTCGTTCCGTTGGCCTATTTGAGAAGGATCAGGTTGTTCAACATGGTGGTGGTGGTGATGGTGATGGTGGTGGTGGTTCATTATGGCTGTGGATTCTAGGCACGTAGGAGGAGTGTTTGTTCTTTCTTTCTTTGAAAAGCCTGCTCTATCCAAGAAGAAGCAGATAGAGTTCGAAAGGAAATGGCGCATTTAAATATGATGTGTCGGTGCCTTTGGTTTAATTAGATGAGTAAGTCACCGGAAAGTCGCCGATGAATGTCTCCTTGAGTGCGACGGCAGCTCCTGCGTTCCTGATTTGACTCATGTCATGCAGGCCAAGTCGTGACAAGCTTCTTCGTTGTATGCGCCCTGACTAATGCCTATGATTGAAATCTGCTCGCGTGGTTTTGGTGTATCTTCGCAGTGCCTCGGACCGCTTGCGTTCAGAAAGAAGGTTTGATCCGGTATCGACCGTTGCCATCAGTCACAAAAGCCCCGAAAACCTGCCGGTGAGCCTTAAGCGTAGTGCCCGAGGACCGTCAAACACTAATATTCTCTGTGAACAAATTCGAAAACAAATATGATGCATTTTTAGCCTGCGCCTTTTCCCGTCTATAAACGTAGCTCTATATCAATCGCCCTTGACTCCAGCGTTTTGTTCTATATCGGCCCCTATTCGACGATAGACTCCGTTCTGCCTGGTGTTCCGCCTCGAGCGACCCAAGACTGAATTCGCAAAGTTGACAATCAGCCCCGCGGCGATGGCAAACATGGTGAGGCCCAGCAGTCCCTGGAGGCAGTGCGCCCACATCCAGCTGTACCACTGGCTGTCCCAGCTATGCCACGAGGCTCCCCTGCCGGTGGTGAAAATCGCACTGGCATCGTAGACTGGGTGGTTGTCGATCATGAGCCTGGTGAGGGGCGGGTCGTCGGCGGGCTTCAAGTCGTGATACATCTCCCACATGAGGGACTCGTACCACTGGCCACCGCCCAAGCTGATCGATACATAGGGGAAGAAGTAGTCGCGGCAATAGTATGCCAAATTGTCGGTGAACATGACCCAGAAGGGGTGGTTGGGGGTAGCACCGAGGATGTTATTGCTCAGCGAGTATGAGCCACCGTCAGTGAGGAAGACGGGGTAATAGAGCAGTGCGTCAAGGCTTGTTTGACAGCCCTATAATAAATGTCAGTATCTGTAATCTTATATCGTTAGATATCATACATACATTGTCCAAGTCAATGTAGATTCCTCCATAGTGGCGCATCAAAAAGTATTTCAAGATGTCAACCTTTTGGACCTTCTCTGGGAGTTGGTCATAAACGGGGAGAAACCATGGATATTCATCCTGGAAGAAGGTGCGCGACGTCTCGTCATTCCAGAGCTGATCATTGTGGCGAGTTAGTATACGAGCCTTAATTGCAATTGAACGCGCAAGAAGATGAGTGAAAGAGGGGGACAAGAAAAGGTAGGTACGTTGATGCCATCCATGTCAAACTCACCTTGTACTCATACTCCGGGTTCAACTTAATAATAGTCGCCTGCAGCTTGGCCCAGTCGGCAGGCAGCGTCTCGTTGCCCGGATCGGCCCAGTTATGGTAAATTTGGTGAATTATCTTGGGCACCACCTGCACCCGGGGATCCTTCTTGTCTTTCTCGTGCAACGCGAGGGCCTCTGGTTGTGTCAGGGAGACGCCGCTGTGTGGGCCGAAGATGCGTGCGACCAGCAGGATTTTGGGTAGCAAGAGCCAGATGGCACCTATCAGAAGGAGGACGGCGATCACCGTCGACCGCCTGGCTGGAGAGAGTGCCATTGTGTCCGGGCAGCAGGTATCCTGACCATCGCACTGCAGCCTCTGGACCGAATGGGGATTTAGAAACCGGCTTCTTGGTAGGATGGTGCCGTTGGCGATTGAGTTTGCGGTGATGGATAGTGAATTTCAGGGGCAAGGTGCTGATGACGCGCCGCCCCTTCTTTTCGGCGGCAACCTACCTGGAACATCGGATTCGCGACGAGGGGATGAAACACCCCTGTTCCAGTTCAAAGGCAACAAAAAACTGCAGTGGCTTATTTGTGTGGAATGGGCGGGACGAGGCGCTGTAGCATCACGAAATAGCGGATCTCAGGGAGGGATCTGCAGGGATCCCGTATTACTTGATGCTTCAGCCGAGTTGAAGGACACGCTACAGTCCAATAGTGGTCGTTAGTCCCCTTGCGAAAATACCAGTGCAGGCAGATAATTCTGCTACCATCTGACATTATTAGCACTGACATCGGATCTATCGTCGCAAGGGCTCCCTAGCGGTTAGGGAGTTGTGCGCTAAAATCGGCTATGATGGACGCTAACAGCGGAAATCTTCAGCGTTCCATCCATCCATGTCACGATCAAATGGCTCCCTCTAAGCATCTCCTCCCACCTTCCCCTCCCACCTTCCGTCGCAATACGAGCTTGGCTTCCATGCAGCAAGGCGGTAAGCAGCGACCGCATGTCAGCTTTCTCGTGTAATATTACCGTCTATCTGCACCATCGAGTTTGTCTATGCCTACCTACATACCTACTGAGCTCAAATAAGCCATTTTTAGCACCTAAACACTCCTCCGTGATTGGCTCTCTAGAGGTCACTTTTCTATCTCGACCATCGCAAACCGTACGAGCAAACGAGAAGTATCAATGGGGACAAATAATTGCACAGTATATTTTCAAATTCTAAGCGAGGATTCTAAAGATCGGGTACTCATCCCCCTCTTCCACAGGAACAATGTTGAAGGTGACATACGAGTCAATATTCTCAGGCTCCAGGGCCACAAAGGCGAGGCCAGCATTCTTCTGCTTCGTGCTGACGAGGAAACTACCCGCGGGGAGCTCAATCTCTCGCTGGCTGGCTTCGGTAGTAGTCGTCACGCGAACCACGCCCTCATAATAGCTGGTCGCCAGCTTCGCCGACGAAAAGGTCAGTGCCTCCACAGTTCCCTTCCAGGGCTCAGACAAAGTTTCGACCTCGAGGCCATAGACACGGAGGCGCTCGGCAAGGTCAGGCCAGGCGACAGGGATGATATAAGCCTCGGGGCGCGAGCGTGTGAGGTTCGCAAGGCTGGGAGTTGTAGAGGAGAAGCGTACAGGCTGCTTGACAACTTCACCCGTGCTCTTGTCGACGAAGGAGAATTGTCGGATAGACGTCTCGCTGGAGTCTGTCACAACAATCTGGTCTGATGAGCTGATAAACTGCTCAATACCACCCTCGATGGTACTGAAAACTTCATCTGCGTTGTCGGCTGCGGTCTGGACAATGCTGCCAAGCATAGTGAATCCTGCGGCAGTGCGGCGCTGGAACTCCTGGTCTGCTAGCCCAATGCCTCGCATTTCCAGAAGAAAGACAACGGCTTGAGTGAGCCCCATGGCATTGCGCCCGATCTTGGCGTCGGTCCCGGCTTCATCAAAGGTAGCGACATACTCGGAACTAGACGAGGAGGACCCTGTGACGTAGGGCTCCGTTCGAAGCCCAGCAGCCTCCATGTCCTTCGCGATGTTCACAGCAAAGAGTTCCTCGGAGAGGGCTCGAATATCCTTGTGGATGTTGAGGTTCTTAGCTGCCGAGAACAGACCATCCGAAGCGTGGACGTACTTCCCGTTGCCGAATGTGCTCGACGCTCCGTACTCGTGCATATCCACCACAACGTGAGGGCTGAACTCATTCTGGAGCTGCTTGATGCTGCGAGTCTGCTGACGAGCTAGCTTGACGTGGTCACGGTTGGGATCAAAATTGGTTGCCAGTGTACGCTGGAAATAATATTCTCCATCTGGGTTATAGCGTGGCAGGATAACCAATTCAGCCTTGCTGAGGATAGCGTCCGCCCACTCAGGGTCGTTGTCGAATTTTCCAAGGAGAGCCTGTGTAGACTCGTCCCCGGCAGGCTCATCGCCGTGAACTGAGCCCTGGATCCAGATGCGGACCTTTCCTGTAGAGTCCCTGCGACGAGATGTGGAGTTGCTGGACTTGCTTGATAGATAAATGTAAGGGAACTGGCGACCCTCTTCTGAGGTAAAGTTGGCCGTCTTGTAGGTCATATACGTGTTCTTGTCCGCAAGTTCCTGCAAGAAGGCATCTACACAGGATGTCAGTACCATGCCAGTGCCGTAAGCTCTCATCGTGGGATTAACCTACCCAGATGCTCATGGGATGTAGGTCCCTGTGTTCCATTCTTGAAGCCATCGAGACGGATCTCCGGAGTCAAGAAGGCGGGGGAATAAAGTTCAATGTCGACCTCCGGGAAGGCCTTCTCAACAATCTCAGAATCGCGATTGACGTTCCGTTGATTGTAGCCATATTTGGTTGCGCCGGCTAATTTGACAAGCCCAAGAGCGAGCCCGGCAGAGTTTGGCAACCTCATTATGATCCGTTAACCTTTCAATTTAGAAGGGACAATGCGACGTTGGAAAAGTGACCGGATGGCATTGAGGTGGCTTTCTGCAAGCAGCATCGAGGGGGGAAATGGCCCTCTTTTATTCCAGAAATCAGTGGATTGACCATATTGACGATGGGCGTATCCATCTTCGAGCCGGCATCATATTAACGCTTCGTCACATTTTCTACCCACTACATGGTTCTCCTCACTGAACCACGGGGAGCTTCCTGTTCGAGGTTCGTTGCCAAGGCCCGAAGGTATATGCTTGACGTAGGTGCTTAATTGATAGACCAGTCGGGTGAATTGCCCTGGGCGATTGCAACTCGCGCTGTGGGCCGTTCACTAGGAAGACTTGTTATCAAGCACTTTTGTTGACGCCGGCTATTCTCCTCAATACTACTCTTCTTTCTGAGAACCATTGCACGACATCTCGTCTGCATACTCACACACGAGTAGGTTATTCATGGCCATTGCATACTTACAAATGTAATTAACCTCCTGCCATCATTTCTGGGCTCACCTCAACCGTAGTCTTACCATCACCGTTAAAACAGCAGGTTAGCGGACCCGTCGCCCTCGGCTCTTAACTTTGAGTGCCGATGCAAGGTGGCGGGGGCACGAACACGGTCCACAGTTGAGCCCTGCTGGTTTGTACTCACCTCGGGGTTTACATGTGGAGATCAGAAGATAAGCATGGTGCGACTTAGGCTTAAGCTTATGAACGGTGATATGCTTTTTGCAGATCACCGAGACCGAGTAGGTAGGCAAGAGGACTTGTTTCTAAGTGACATTGATGCGCAGAGCTGGTAGTTTTACATAAGCGTGGAGAAGGGCGCCACAGGGATATGACAAAGCAGCCACAGAACATTGGAGAATGCTGCGCCACATATATGATATGGCCTTAGTCAGCATGACGGCGTCTCATTACTTTAATTGAAGCTTTGGGGACATGCCTTCCATGAATTTTGATGTTCAGACACAAAGAAGCAATGGCCTCGACATCAGAAGCTGCCGATGATGCGGCTGCAGCTCCAGTCATTCAGTTCAAGAAGAAGTCTCGAAAGGGCAACCTAATAAAGAAGAGGCCAGTCACTCCCGAAAAGAAGGATTCTTCCGACGACGATTCCTCCTCAGACGACAACGGGCTCCAGGATGCGCGGCACAAAGTCAAGCGCAGGAAGAAAGGAACCGAGGTCCACTCCTCGACCGCTGCCGATAAATCACTAGCAGCGCTCCTCCCGACTGTCCACCAAGCCGACCGCAGTGTCGCGATCAAAGACAGCAACGATGCAACTAAAGAACGGAACTGGCACGAAGAGAACAAACCGGGCGCCAAAATTGGCCCAACCAAGTCGGCTAGCAACGTCCGGATGACTACATTCACCGAGTATACGCTGGGTATTTGCAAAGACTACAAGAAGACTGGGCATTGCGGGTAAGTGATCGCAAGGTTTCCTCAGACTAGTAGGAATATGTGCTGACAAGTGATAGTTTCGGCGACGCCTGTATTTTCGTTCACGATCGAGGCGACTGGACCGGTGGATGGAAGCTGGATCAAGACTGGGACAAGGCCGTCAAGGAGAACAAAGTGCCCAAGAGCACGGTGGTAGCGAGCGCCGACCGGACGCGAAAATTCGACACTAATAACGACGACGACGCGTCGATCCTGGAAAATATCCCCTTTGCCTGCATCATCTGCGAAAAGTCGTACCGCGATCCGATTGTCACGCGATGCGGCCACTACTTCTGCGAGTCATGCGCTCTGACTCGGTATAGAAAAGACCCGAGCTGCGCCGCCTGCGGTGCGGCAACGAATGGGGTCTTCAACACGGCATCGAGATTACGGAAACTGCTGCAACGGAAGAAGGAATGGGAGGCGAAGAAGGCTGAGGCAGAGGCTGAAGCCAGTGGTGCTGGAGACGCCTGAGAAGGTCTAGCTTTGGAAAATCAATCATGTTTCCAGCGACACTGAAAAGAAGGCACTCTGAATGTTTATGTGTTGAGACACAAACTTTCATCCTGGGATTGATGGGCGGCCTTCTCGATCAATGGCCACGTCCAGCCAGCGGCTTGGTCCAGATGTTAGGACGATGGCCCAACGCTGTCCCGGTTTCTACATCTGGGAGTACCACTTCATTCGGACGGTATACAACAGACACTTCTGCTTATGGTATTGCATACATGGCCAGTTCTACGGATCTGTGGTCCATCGTTAGCCTTGGGCGGTGAAACTCAGCCCCTTTTCAGGCGAAGTCAGTGCTTGGAGTTTCCGAAAGAACTAGCCAGCTTTGCCAAAACAAATTAACCTGTCCAACAACCTCACGGATCTCCAACTACAACTCTACTGTTATCAATGACTTGAAACGGGGTAACAGCATGTGGGTTGGGTACGGTGATTTCGGCCTTACTCGGGGACGTCTCACTCCCACACCTCACGCAAGTGTATGTAGCCTCCCGGTCCCGTTTATCCACTCACGAAGTCGGCTTGTCCGGCTCATAATCATCGTGGACCGGCAGAACGATAGAAAGCCCATCTCAAGACATTGCATAAACATACTAGAGTGAATTCACATAGCGTAACAGAGATACCTTAGCTAGTGGTTAATAAGACTGAACTTCAGTCACTAATCTATATGTTTACGTTCCTACGTCCTAGCACGCTCTGATGTTCTCAACATTTTCAAGGCTGGCGGGACAAACCCCCCTCGTAATCTGCGACGGCTTTGTTTCACGGTATTTCTCAAACGCCTACCTGCCGCCTTCCTCTTGGAGGACCAACTCGCTCATGGACATGTGCTTCTTTTCTTTTTCTCGGTCCTATTAGTCCTATTGTCCCATACCCTTGTCCCCATTGAGATTCAGTCACCAACTGCCAGGCTCGGGAGACAGTGGAAGGTGGAGTAGATTGTTCTCATCTAATTTGAAACCGGGACAATGATTATGAACCTCTTCCGAACTCCGGTACAGGGGGAAACCATGTGCATAGATTAGACAGTAAAGCCGGGGCTTAAGCTTAAACTCATTTCATATCGTTTGTCAGGGCTACACTCTTTTTATGGCCGTCTCTCCGGGTGTGTTGCCCTAAAAGGCTACACAGTTAGCATCAATGGCGAGGTCCTTACGCTTACCAGGGGTCCTCCTCAGGCCTTTTGCATGGGTCATCGCGGTGCCTGTTTCGTGATGAAGCTTGGCGAACCTGGATCTCGCCAAGCTGCGCCGACTTCCGAGAACCAACTCAACAATTTCACCGCCTCCAACCCAGTCAGTTTGAGGGTGGTTTACACAAGCCCAAATAAGAAAGAGTGGGGGAAAAACATGAGTTTTATATTGAAAAAAGTTACACAGAAGTAGATTTTAGTGGATATCGCCGTTTCTCTGACCTCAGCCTGTGCCGCAGTCAATGCACACGAGGCTCGACGACAAAGTTCTACAAAGTTCATCCTCCGCCCCATCACCATACCTTCCTTCCCTTGTTGCTGCCCCTGCATTGCCGATTCGGCGGTATACATGAGACGAACCGATGATCAGTGGGGTCATGTAGCACCAAAGTTTAGGTCGACTTGGTGGCACACTTTCCATCGGTGCAAATGAAGTCGTCGGAGCAGTCTTGCGCCGTCGCACATGATGCCCCTAGCCGATATTAGTATTCTAAAATCCCTACCAAAAGACATGGCACAGAAACGACTGGCGTCAAAAACAGGAAGGAAAGGGAAAAGAAAACAAAGGCTTACCCAAGCAGTGGCCAACCCAAGTGCAGGTGTTGTCATCCCCGTCACCGGTATTGTTACCTCCAATCCGCTTGACGAGCTTGTCACCAAGACTGACGATGCTCTTGTGGAAGTCGTCGAAGTTGTCGGCCGTCCAATCGGCACCGGTGGCTCCCGGAACGGCGTCAGTCCCTGTAAAGGCGATGTAGAGAACGTCAGGGTCGTCGTGGCTGGAGCCGGTCTCGCTGCCGCCGCTCATGCTCTGTCCGTAGCAGGCTGTGGCCAGAGAGAGGGAGACCTCGCCTACACTGGGTCGATCGCCCGGGCCGTTGGTGTCGCCCCAAACGCCATAGAACTGATCGTCGCACACAGACCTGTCAGTTGAAAGAAGATTACCCCCGAGAGGAGGTCTCTTACCATCTTGTCGCCGCAAACGACAGCCATCACACTGGCCTTATTGACGCCGTAGGTGCGAGGGTCAAAGGTCGGCCTCCCGTCCGGCTGGCCCGTGTTTCCAAACACGACGAAGCTGTGGTCGAAGGTGTTGATGTCGTTGATGCCGATGTTGTAGCCCGCGATGATGGGCTGGATGGCGGTCGCGTAAACCGTGGTGCCAGCGCCGCCCTCGCAGCGAGTATCGCCGTTGGACATGTTGGGGGCGCCATCGCAGTCAACGTCCATGTTGCTGAATTTTCCAGGGCCCTGGAGGTAGACGACCCCGTAGTCATCGAGGTGGTCGCCACAGTAGGACATGTCTTGGCCCCTCTTGTTAGTTCCGTACGTCTTCGGTATCTGTCAACAGCACAAATACTCACCTCCCTTCTCGAACTGGGAGTTGTAGAAACCCGTAGCGAGGGCCTTGTCGCATTTTCCTTTGGCCTTTAGGCTGTCGTAAAAGGTCTTAACGTTGGAAGGGATTTCAAGGGCGAGTGCACCAGGCACAGCCGCGAAAAGAAGAGATGTAGTCTTCATTGCAGAATAACAATGAGTTGAATGTACAGAGTCACAGACTTGAGCCAAATAGTTAAGTAAGAGAATGATATGATATGTGGAATCAAAGCACCAGCAACATTTACTAGAAGTAGAGTGCGGTCACTATATATACTCACCATCCCCCTTGCCAAGAACGGATGTCCCTCAAGTGCCGTAGTTGCATGGGGTCTCAGTATGCGCTGTGCCGCCCATGGAGTACCTAGTTCTTTCAGTTTTGAGTATAACGTCAAGAGGATGTGGGTGGCTTGTTTCAGAAATATCCTCGCGCGGCCTGTTGGCTGTGGGCCGCCATTGAACTGCAGTCAGCCGAGCCGGGACAATTAAACTCTTCCTCATTGTTTGCAAGGCCATTCTGCCTAGGGGCTCGGATACCGCTATTGTCTACGCGCGCGGGATGCGCTTTTGTCGGAACTCGGATGGGGATGAGGTATGGGTAAGGTGCCCAGGATCTTGTTGGCTTACAGCTTGAAACCGGGGAAGGATAAACTAAGCAGGGGATCAGCTCGACCACGTGTGGTAACAAATCTTAAAGAGTACAACAATACCATGAACATATATTACACCGAAATGAACCTCTATTGTTCAGACTGAACAGATGATTATCATTTGAGCTAAGGCTGCAATACTAAAGAGCCCTGAGACGATGGTGAAGCAAATGCAAAAGAGAATGATCCAACGCCAATCATAGTGTCCATAACACATCAGAAGCAACGGATTAATTTGAGCTGGAATACCATTTCCCCTGCTGCGGGAAACTTGACAAAAGGACTAGGTTGTGCTTATGAGATGACAAGCTTGGCCGTCAAGGGAATAGAGGGAGGCCTCGATCATTATACGAAGCAATCAAGGCAAGAGAAAGGCTCTTGAAACCCAAGCGAGGCTGGGAAATTTAAAAGGTGCTGTGTGTGATGCAGGCCTGATATCGTTATCTTGACCATGCCTTGAATAAGATTTGAGGCCTCGCGTGCAAGAAAGAACGGTCGAAGATTGATGGCAACAGAATAAGTAACAAGAGTACTGGTTATGTTGACAGATATTTGAAGCACATATATTACTTCTACAATAGTTTATCAAGAACAATTGAATTCCCCAAAGGCTTGCCTATCCGGACAATATCTTTAACGCCTTTACTCCACAGGAATGCCCTCATACTCAGCATATCCAAGCGCCAGGTTCATGTTTTCTAGTCAAGTCTATTAGCAAGCGGGTACATGTACACAAGAGAGGCACTTACGCAAACACTGAGTGGCGGCTCCTTTGCTGAGGTTGTCGATCGTCGCGGCGACGACCACTCGCTTTCCGGTGCTGTCAACTGCGAAACCACCGATTTCAACGTGATGTTTCCCAGCAATGTCTTTGACCAAACTACACATGCCTTGTAAGTATGGACAAGTGGTTCTCATCTTTTCAGGCAAAATACATACGGAGCCTCGCCGACAACCTTAACAAGCTTCTCGCCAGCATATCGGTCTTGGTAAATTTGGCGGATTGTTCGAGAATCCATTTTCTCTTTAAGAGGGATGCTAATAGTCAGATGGATTCCACTACAGATAGCTAGTTAGCAAAGGTGCCTGACACATAGTACCCAGATGCTCAGAGGAGCAGCTCACCGGAACCAAGAAGCGACATGTGGCATCAACGCAACTTCGCCTTGCCCAAGACCAAGACTATGAGCCACTTCTCTCTCATGGATGTGTCCAGTAAGAGAGTAGGCAATCAGATTGTCATGAAGCAGCTTGACATCATTCTTGGGCTATATATACGCAGTCAGTCAACCTGTATGCAATCAACGAGAGGGGTCTGGAGACATACCGAGGGCTTGGTGCCAGCCCCTGAATAACCGCTCACTCCAAATACTAGTCTGAGTTAGTCGTTTTTGTTCTAATGAGCTGAAGAAAGATGTGATATGACGATTGGGATAGGCTTGGAAAACAGTGTGGTACACGTAGGAGCCTTGGGACCAGACAACTATCACCAAGTTCCTCCACCAACGCCATTTCATCCAGCATGCAGAACAACTGTCCTGTTGCATTCGCGACAGCTCGTTTGGTGGCGCCGATGGAGTTTCCAAGTGCCTGTGCCTTCAACTCTCCCTTGAGTGGGGCTAGACGTCTCGCAACGAGCTTCGCAGAGCAAGACTTACCATTGATCGTTTTACTCCTGTCGATGTGATCAAGCAATGCCCCAATACCAAGTTGGCTACCTGTACTGTAGCATCCAGGGTTCTATGGAAAAATTAGCTCTCTTCTCGAGCTTTGAGACGACACAAGGTTGAAATTACTGAAATTCTTGAGCTCTGGCAGATGTCGGATCTTTTTTGAAGCTCGGGAAGTCCATAGCTATAACCGATGTGAGCTACACCGCTTGTCTTTATAGAGAGGAAATTCGTGGGAGGTCCCTTACGTCCAAGAATCATCGAAACGATAGTCAGCCGACAAGTCTACAATGAGACTCTTCTTCGCGCCCTGGTTGAGAATGTCGACAAAGGGCTTGCAGACACCTAGCAATAAAAAGTCAGAGACGAAGTTGGACGCGACTTCAAATTATCATTTACCGTTAGGCAATGCCATGATCCAACAGTCTACCTCGCTGTCCAATTGTAGCACCGCCTCAGCGTCAAGGTTTTCGTAGGTGATCTTGCGCTTCGAGTATCCCTGGAGCTCCTGGCCGGCAAGCTCTCGCGAAGACACATGTCGAAGGTCCATGTAAGGGTGGTTGTTGAGGAGCTCGACCAAAGCTTGACCAGTGTATCCTCGGGCTCCAATCAGACCAATGCGGGAGGGGACGTCGTTCGAGGCATTCTTCTTGCCAAGAGGCGGGTTGGGGTTTGTGGTGGCGGCATAACCTCGTCGCTGCTGGCTAGCAATGGCAGACACGGCGTGATGGGCGATTGGGCGTGCAGACCGGGCAGACGAGAAGGATCGGGAGTAGTTGAGGCCGACGACGTAGCGGTTCGAGTTCGGCGCAGTGGCGATGGACGACGACGATCGAACAGCTCGGCGGGCGGCGGCGCGCATGGCCATGGGGGCGGAAGAGAGCATGGCCGCGGGTTCCTCTCAGGCCAATTGACTCGGTGGAGGGAGAATTGCTGGTGGTGACGTCGAAGAAGAAGCTGGGAAGCGCCCTTTGGAGTGCCCGTAACCAGCAGTGACTCTGAGCAGTGGTGGGTCTTTGCAGGGTGAGGAGTTGAGCTCATCGTTTTTTTTTCCTTGGCGGTGGCCGAAATCGCTCGCCAGGCAGGTGACCCACCGTCTTTCCGGCACTCACGAGCGCGACCACGGCAAGAAACTGCTGTTCTAAACCGCTTTGGTTTGGACTTTTCATCCCCGCATACTCCTAAAAACTAACTACCGGTAGAATCCCCATTGACAAGGGCACCCAGCCGACAAGGGCAGACGCAACCCGGCACGGTTCCCCATCGATAGTGCAGACTGCCAACGAACGGACCCATTCGTGAATCTTGACATGATATCAAATTAAACCAAGGAAGAAGAAGTGGCAAGGTGACGAGGCGAGAGCTTGAGTGAGAAGTGTCAGGCAGTGTTATCACTAAATCAAAACACACGCGGCTTACGCGTTAGAGTCAAAAGCACATCTCTTGCAATAGCTAGGGCGCGAACTTTCAATCTTTCAAGGCGCCCCCTGTTTTTCTGTCTACTTTTGGGAAAATATGGTGATCAAAGCCTATAATCTCACCAACCAGAAGAGAGAAGAAGAACAAGCAATGCCTCTTGGTCAAGGGCCTCTCAGACACGATTGATCATCTTTCTCGTATCTCGTAGTCAAGTCCGCGATTAACTAATTTTCCAATGCCATCATAACATGGGAAGTAGCAGTAGCGAGCTTGAATCCACGATCCAAGGGTATGATGCCGAGAAGAGGTACAGTGTACGAACGCTACCTATGTCCAAAGCGATGCGTATGATAAAGTGACAACATCACACGACCGGGGCTCTAGCAGCCAGGCTATCAAATGAACCCAAGAAAATACCACGTTCCATTGTTGGGAATCTCCGGACAGTGGCTCGGCTCTATCATGCTTGCACGATCCTCGGTGCAGAGCGCCTCATGATAGACGCGACTAGCAGCTTCCACCGTTTGTTCTGAAACTCCGAAGGCAAAATATCCGTTATCAATGTTTTCAGATCAGTTTTCCCCATGGAAGATGCAAATGACATGAAAATGATATATCCATCCATCTACAGATATGAATAGAAAACAGCAAACCCCAAACGCCACGGTCGTCTTGACAACTCAGTTTTTCCAGGCGAACTTCTATAGCCAATCTCACAGCCTATGCTTCACGAATGGCATCCGCCATTCTAACATCACAATGCGCCCTCTCAGCATCCGTCATACTCATCATGAGTCCTTCGCTTTCTCACTCTCTTCTAGGTCAACCTTCTCGACCGCCCCACTCAATCCAGAGTCCTCATTCTTGCTTTCAAGGCTTGGCAGGAACGAGAGGAAGTAGTTGGCGATGTCCTCGTGCTGGTTGAAGTAGGCCAGATCCAGAGGCACATAGTTACGCTCGTTGGCCAGCGCGGGCGAGGCGCCCTGCTCAACAAGGTACTTGACTGTGTCGATGTGGCCGCCCAGCGCTGCCCAATGCAGGCCGGTGTTGCCGTGCTCATTGGGCTCATCCAGAAAAGCCTGTCTCTCCTCCTTGGGCCCTCCTTCAAATGACTCAACAAGCTTGCGCACCGTCTCTGATATTACAGTCAGTAAGTTGGCCTGTCGTGAAAAATCAATGCGCAGTTGTCGCTGCTTTCGCGCCCCAACCCACCTAAGTGCCCGTTTCCTGTGGCCATGTGCAACGTTGTGGATTTGTTGCTCTCGTCCTTTGTTGCAATCAGAATTTCGGCAGGAGTAGCCTTCTCGCGCTCAGCCAAGCTCGCGACGGTCTCAAAAAGATCTTGAGTTTCTCCAGTTCGCGCGAAATAGATGAGATCATCGATCTCATCTTCCGAAAGTTGGGGGGCCATCGCTGCAAATGTTGATGAGAGCCTTCTTTGGCGTATTGATGAAATTTTACTTTTTTGGTGGGTGATGATGAGGGGACTGTGTGGGCAAACTACCCCGCATTCTTCGCACTGTATGCTGGCCTACTCCTTGCGCAGGATCATGGTCTATCATTTCGACCGGCTCGTAGATCATTGAAATATACCATCATTACGGGTCTGACATAGTAAAATACATTGCTTCTCTTCATTCAGGTCCGAGGCAAAGGATAATCTCTCGCTCCAACCAACCTGTGAGACTCCCCCCGTCATCAAGCCACTGAATTTCGGCCTTGACCCCCAACATCAGCATCTTTTGGAGTTCGTATCTCATTTCGGCAACTTCCTGGCTTGAATCATCGGTTGTAACAATCGATTGTATCCTTCTCAGTGTCCCACGTACCAGTTGTCGATCTCTGACCGAGAGTTGGGCACTGGGTTCTCTGCAGGAGGTGGATGAGATCGAGTCGCCTACAGAATCACCACCTCGAGAAGAATGTGCTTGCTCCTGATGAGTTATTCGTTCAAGAGATGATTGCACTGGTTGTGAATTATGAGACCCGAGGATATGTCTCGTCTTGATCCCGATCCAGTGCGCTTTGAGATATTTCGGTGACGGTAGTCGCGAAAGGCCCCATCGATAACACCTCAGAATGTTGACGCCATCAGGATCGTAGTCCACGAGGACTAAGATTGGAACATTCGGGTTACTTCGCTGAATGATATGAAGAAATGACCAAGTCAACAAATCAGGGTATCCCTTTCCCTATGATCCTGATTAGCGCTTGTCTCTCAATTTGCGAGACTAGCATCTCTACCGTGACGAGAAGGCCAAGCCCAGCCGCGGATGTTCGCCAGAACTGTGTAGACACTAGAGATCTAAACACGGCCTGATAGCAGTCAGAAACGGCGTAGATATACGTGTGCATTTAACCCACATCCTTCTCTATCACCAGTATCCACTTGATGCTTGAAGTGTCGACACTGGCAATTGTAGTTGACAATGGGATTGATGATCCCTATTCAACTGATCAGGATCGTTCCTAGGATATTATTCTCGCATTGGATGCTTACAAGGCGATTGTATGACGCATCGATCGAAGTACCATCTTGTAAGTGAACTGTCGCTTGTCCAGCCACAAGACCTTTTGAGGTAGCAACCTGTTCTGGTCAATGACCTCCTAGGTTGAACGAACAATTGCAGGGTATTACTATGTTCAAATCTTCACGGCCAATACCAAGAGTCAAGGCCAGGCAGTCCACTAGCTCATCTACCCGAGCTTGTGAGCCAAATAGCTCCTGGTTCTGGTAGAAAATGTGTCTTGCGATGAATTAGAGGTGCAAGCCATTGGTGTGGATGATAGAGCGAACCTCTTGGTCAAGATTTCATTGGAAACCAAGGCATCGTGAGAAAGTTGGAGTATGAGTAAAACTCTCGCTGAAAGTTGTGAGATCCAGTACGTGTCGATGGGATCGGGGCGTCATACTAAATTTGGTTGCTTCGTTCTGGCTCCGACCTGGAAAGCAGAGCCGCTCCTAGCGAGGCTCTCCGGTGCCGCGCCGAGGGTCGCATATGAAGTTGATACTCAACTCTTCTTTCCTGATGATGCTTTCTACAATAGATTCAAAGATGCCTTCGATTTGTGCAATAAGACTGCCAGGATTCGGGACAAGACCGGCCCCAGGGAAGGTCCTGCTCCCCGCAGCAACTGCCTGTCTCTGCGGCATCTATACGGTTAAGGTTTCGGGATGCATGTTCGGGGTGCGAAATGATGACAATTACCTACCTAGGTAGGAAGTTATATTAATGATGATGGTTGTAAAAGCGAGAAGAAGGTGGCACTTGTAGTAAGTCTTTTGGAGGAAGGAGACATCAGGGTCAAATGTGGGCTGCGCTTTCCCTTAAACCCAAGGTACCTGCCTCACATGACAATTCTGTCTTTAGGGTGTAACGCGGGTGGCAGTAATCGCAAAGACGGGAAGGTACGATCGGTTGATGATGCCATGCCAACGACTGGCCATTGAGTGGATTTTGGCAAGTTAATATGAATTTTTGGATGATGCAGCGTTAAGCCTACGAACAGATGACGCATCACACTCACAAGCGAAGAAGCATCACTCAGATAAAACAGATAAAAGGCGTGGTGTACAAGAGGAGGTTTGTTCTCAAGGACTGGTCGGGACTCAAGTGACTCCATCTCGCCTTGATCTAAGGCTGTAGGGTCGACCCAATAACCCCTTTGAAGAACACCATTGGCTTACCTTTTTGTTTGTCAAACACAATTACAAAAACCTCGAGGCTCTGAAGCCCCTGAGGTTCCTTCCAGCAATTCAGATCGCGATTGGCGGAAAATCGCAGCGTGCAGAGATCGAGAATTGAAAGTGGTGTACTGATCCCTTCGCAAGCAAGAATCTGTAGCTGAATAGATTATCGTCAAACCATCAAGTTGGAGTTTTAGCTCAGTTGGGAGAGCGTCAGACTGAAGTTCGACTTCAGTCCTTTGACATCTGAAGGTCGTGTGTTCGATCCACACAAACTCCACTGCGATTTCTTTTTGCTCTTTGGCTCAGCATCATGATGGTCATGAATACTCTACTTGTTTGAACAACTCTTTTTCTTTTTACCAAAGTACCTATTAGGAGGTACTCGATCTTCCAATGCCCCAGGATATGTGAGACACGAAGGAAAAGGCTTGGTTTAACCCAAACAGCTAGATGAAAAACATTTTGGGGCCACACCAACCTAGTACTGTTTACCTTACCTATATATATCTGAAGAATAAAGAGCCATCCCGAGAGGTTAACAAAAGGTTCACACCAAAACCTCCGTAGCTGCAGCCACAGCGTCAAAACCTCAAGATGTGATCCCACAACGTCTGTTTGATTGGTGAGTGGAGGGGAGAGGGGGCAGCAACTTCGGAAAGCAAATAACGAAAAAGAAAAGATCTGCCCTCAACAACCAATCAGATTCTTCTTGTTCCGACCATTTGCATTCAATTCAGGGGTTGTAGCAAATAGAAGTCCCAAACTGGAGATGCCGTCGTAATCGTGTAGATTCTGATGCTGAAGGGTAGCATTGGTGGGTAATACAGGTGCTGTGCAGCGTTCGGAGGGGGCCGGATCCGGGGTGGAGTGGTGGGTTTTTCTCCGGGCGTGCAGCAGTGGGTGGGTAATTTACAGAGCACCCAGCTGGGATGTGATTGATTGCTCTCGCCTACTTATTTGTTCACCAGACCGCCACGACAGTCTCGCCTTTGCCTCCTCTTCATGTTCCAATTGCTTTCCGCCTTACAAGCTCAGCCTTGACGACCATGACGAAAGCTACCGGACGGGAGGAGGAAGCTCCTCTCCTGCGAAAGCGCGGTGCCGACGACCAGCACGCCCCTCCAAAGCGGCCCAAGCTCGAAGCTAAGACCGACGTTACAAGATGGAGGTTGAAGGACGACGACAGCCGCCATACCTGGCATTACCTGGAGGACGAGAAAGCTGCCAGCGAATGGCCCCAGAGCTACGCTGAGAAGTACTACCTGAACCTGCCTTTGGTACATATCTCCTACCCACCCTTGATCTCGGGAGTCGTTGGACTCACCATATTCTGTCTGCTCTAGGACCTCCCTGATCTTCCCACAGCCGCTACGCCCAAAGAATCTGCAGAGAACGGCCTCACCTTCTTCGAGAAGCTCCAGCTTCCATCCGGCCACTGGGGCTGCGAATATGGCGGCCCGATGTTTTTGCTGCCAGGCATTGTCATCGCCTGGTACGTCACCAAGACGCCAATTCCATCCGCGTACGCGACCGAGATCAAGAACTACCTTTTTGCACGAGCGCACCCCGATGATGGTGGATGGGGTCTACATATTGAGGGTGAGAGCACCGTCTTCGGTACCACTCTGAACTATATCGTCCTCCGACTTGTTGGTGTCGACCCTGAGGACCCTGTGATGGTCAGGGCCCGAGGAACCCTACACAAGCTTGGGGGAGCTGTCTACGGACCACACTGGGCGAAATTCTGGATGGCAGTACTGGGAGTCGTCCCCTGGGACATTGTCAATCCGGTACCCCCTGAGATCTGGCTCCTCCCGGACTGGGTGCCCATTGCTCCCTGGAGATGGTGGATTCACATCCGGCAGGTTTTCCTGCCGATGGGTTACATCTATTCAAAAAAATGGAGCTGCGAAGAGGACGACGTGATTCGTGGTTTGAGGGAGGAGCTCTTTGTCCAGCCCCATGCTGAAATTAATTGGGCAGGTCACAGAAACAGCATTGCGCCCGCTGACAATTACCACCCAAAATCCTGGCTCCTAAACTCGGTGAATTGGCTACTGGTCAATATCTGGAATCCATATCTACGGACCAAATTCATCAAAGACAAGGCTGAGGCCTGGGTCAGCGATCTCGTCGATATGGAGGATGCGAACACCGGTTATGCATGTTTGGCCCCAGTCAATGCCCCAATGAACACAGTAGTATGCTACATCCGTGACGGGCCTGACGCATTTACCGTGAAGCGCCATATTGAGCGTTTCCCAGAATACCTCTGGATGAAGGACGAGGGAATGCTCTGTAACGGGACGAATGGCGTTCAATGCTGGGACACGGCGTTCTTGATTCAGGCCGTCTTCGAGGGGGGCTTCCAAAATGACGAAAGATACCGTCCCATGCTCCTCAAGGCCCTTCATTACTTGGAGAGACAGCAGATCCGCGAAGATTGCGTGGACTCTGAGAAGTGCTACCGACAGCAACGAAAGGGCGGCTGGCCTTTCAGCAACAAAGACCAGGGCTATGGTGTTAGTGACTGTATCTCCGAGGCCTTGAAAGGCATCATTCTTCTCCAAAAGGTGGGCGGGTTCCCAGAGGTACTGGAGGATCAGCGTATCTACGATGCCATCGATACACTGCTCTTATACCAGAACCAGGATACCTTTGGGCTATCTTCCTACGAACGTCGACGTGGAGGCACTTATATGGAGATGCTAAATGCTGCCGAAGTGTTTGGTAACATCATGGTCGAGTATGACTACCCTGAGTGCACCACGGCGTGCGTGACGGCGCTCTCTCTTTTCCACAAGCATTGGCCAGACTATCGTGGCGATGAGATTGAGAGATTCATCAAGCGAGCAACAGACTGGGTCAAATCGAACCAGCGTCCTGACGGCTCTTGGTACGGCAGCTGGGGCATTTGCTTCACGTATGCAACCATGTTCGCCCTGGAGAGTCTTGCGAGCGTTGGGGAGACCCATGAAAACAGCGTTCTATCCAAGAATGGTTGCGAGTTTCTGCTATCCAAGCAGCGAGAAGATGGAGGGTGGTCAGAAAGCTACAAGGTATGTGAACCCCTTCCCCCATCATCTTCAACACCTAACCAGGATGTAGGCTTGCGAGACCATGAAATGGCATGAGCATCCTTCCGGATCGCAAGTGGTCATGACGGCCTGGGCTTTGATCGGCCTGATGGAAGCTGAATATCCGCACGTGGAGCCTCTCAAGAAAGGCATCAAACTCATCATGGATCGTCAACAGTCCAATGGCGAGTGGAAACAAGAGGCAATCGAGGGCGTGTTTAATAAGTCCTGTATGATCAGCTACCCGAACTATAAGTTCACATTCACTATCAAGGCCTTGGGTATGTTTGCGAAAAGATGGCCGAACGTCAAAATTGAATAGCGAGCGTTGTTGATTTACAAGATCACCATATGAAATAATTACTACTACGCGGGAGAGTGGGGTTTTAGACAGGGGCCTAATAGTGGCCTAGCAGGCTTACCTAAGCCTGCTAAGCCCAAAACACAGCGCCTTCGGGATGACAAATATATGCCCGTGTTTAGTGACCAACGCTCCTTCCTCTATTGAAAGCGTCCCTTCCTCTGAAGAATATTCTCTTAACAGTCTGAAGATATCCTTGCAGTAGAAGTTGAATAGAGATAGCCTG